TAACTGCAAACGCTGAGCTCTGGCGTTTTCGTGTAACTTGAGCTCTATTCTCGACGCTGGTTATTCTGATCAACTATCGTCGCAGCTACAGTCTGGGCATTGGCCACTTCCAACCTGGCAGCATGAAGTTGTTCTCGGAGCTCCTGGTTTTCAAGTTCTGCCCTGGCTGAGGCGGCCATCTCTCCTTCTATTCTCACCGCCGCAACAGCGGCGGACGCGGTCTCGGCATCAACAGACTGACTGTTCGCCGTCATTGCGGCCTGTCGTTCCGAGGACATCGCCTCAGCATTTCTGTTCTCGGCTTCTTCTGCCGCGCGCTGCTGGGCAGCCGCGGTTTGATGGGGCACATGTTCCATCTGCTCTTGTTCCCGCTTTCTGGCTGCTTGGGCCAGAGCGAGTCTTTCGGCCTCGAACTTCTTCCGGTTGTCTTCAATAACTGCATTCATTTCTTCTCGGTCCAGTCGTGCCTGCTCGGCCCCCTGGGCTTCGCGGACCAGAATTTATGATTGAGTATTGGCCTCGACAAATCTAGCCTGATCCTGCATAGCTTGGATGAGAAGGCATGGGGAGTTATGCTCTCCCATTTGGAAGCAATCCTCACACAGCCATTGATTGCCCCAGTTGGGACACACATCAGAGCAACTTCCACACACTGGGCGCTTACAGGGTCCTTCCTGTTTGCGGGCTTTCCCCGGGCATCTGCTTTCCGCCTGGGGCGGGCAGTTGGGGCCCCGGTTCCAGCACACCTCGCGCATGGATATTGCACTGTTGCTCCTCGAAGTGGATCGGGCACCAGATCGCGGCATCTTGGGCACTCCCCTGCTCGAAGCAGACGATCGAGGACGGACTTGCGTACTCTCTGGTGGCCTGGCCGCCGCTCAAAGCTCCTCACCCCCTTCGTCTTGTCTGATCGATTCGTTTAGCGAGGCCGGAGGGTTGAGCATTTCGTCATCCTCAACTACAGCGGGTATCAACGGTTGCCAATCGCCTGTGGCGCCGGCAGTTCGATAGAACCCTTCCTGAAGCGGGGGATCATTCAAGTCGTAATATTCATTCCTGTGCTTCTTGAGCTGAAGAGCGGGAGTTCGCCCCGTGATCACCCGGTCGTGCTTCACATGAGACTGGTACCCCATTTCAACCTCAACCGCCTGGGGCGGCAGGCCACTTATCACGGTATCCGAGTCTGGTTCTACAAGCGCTTTCCCAAGGGCTTCCAAGTGATCGTAGTCAATTGTCTCCTGCCCAGGGGACGACCTCCCGTCCTGGGCGGGATGGTCTGCGGCAATTATCGATGACAAATATCGGCTTAATGATACTGGATAATTGGCGTATCCAATGTCTTCCTCCATGGAGTTTATGTCGTCTTTATCATCAAGCTGTTCGTCACTATCTTGGCCGGTTTGTCCGTTCAAGGCTATCGGGATGGGGTGAGTCCCTTGAGCGTTCCCCGATCCGTCTGGGACGGTGGGGTACACATCGCCGGACTCCCCAGCTTCTCGCGACCCACTGGCTTGGCCAGCGGCCGGCACAATAGTCCGCATCGCATTCGGGCTGGAATGCACTGTTTCAGAGGATTCTGCAACCCAAGATGAAAAAAAAAAGGCTCCTCGTCTGACATTTGCTGTTGTGCCATCCCGCCTCATCGGGTCTGGGGTCTGTTCCCGATCACCGATCGGAATTCGAGAGGGAGAATCATCTGCTGACAAATATATAGTTTCTCCCCTACCCCTTCCGCGAGGAATCCAAGTGGTGTTAGAAGAAGAGGGAAGGCGGCCCCTCCCCGGGCCGCTATCCTGATGTTCTTGCCCGTCACGATGTACAACTTGCGATCCGACGGGCAATTCGGCTGTCTCATCATAACTCATCCCTGTTGCGACTTGGTCGCGGGTTTCGGCTGATAACAAGTCTTTCTGCTGAGAATCGGGGTAAGATATCAAAGGAATTAAGGTATCATGTTGACTCTGCTCAGAGGTAGAAGATACGGGATGAGACATCGATGAAACTACAAGCGAACCGTTAAACAACTGCACTCAAATATAGGAAGGGAGGAGGTCCGGCCGGCCGACGACCGACGACGCGCGGCGGCCGAGGGCTGGCGCGCTCCTTTTCTCGCTCGAGTACAAAAATAACTGCGGGATGGTACCGCAGTAGTGTCAAGGTGTGGCAAGGCAGGCAGCAGAAGAGGCAAGTGCAGAATGAGGCGGAGAGGAGCATATTTACTCCTGAAGCCTCCTGGGCACAGTCCTTCACGAACGCCCTCCCCCCGTAGTTACCCAGATCTCCTTGCGTCGTAAACAAGTCACGACGGACTTGTTCTCTTCATGTTCGGCCTATGGGGGCCCGCACTGGGCCCAGGGGCTGTCAAGCAACGACTCCAGATGAAAAGCCTGTCCCAGGGAAGGGGTCCAGACGCTTGCGGTGGGCGCGTCAGGAACAATCACGACGTCGGGGGCCCGGTAAAATAGACGCATACGAAACATCCGCGGTAGGAAATCTAGGGGCGCGTTTGTTGACGGTCTCTGAGATCCCTGAGGTGTCCCAAGGTTTCTGCGGTCTCCCAAGGTCAACGGAGGATCCGAAATGTCCGTGGGTCACCTGCTCGCAGGCTAAATGCATATTTGGTGGACACACTGTGCCTCTGGAGTGCTCGGGGCAGTCGAGCGAAAAATCGGGAGGCGTTGTTGCCACCATGCCTATGGCCGTGATGCCGTGATTCGAGAAGTAGCGTTGCTGTTGAACATATGCCTGATATATGATAGAACTTCCATCACACCTGTAACTGCATCAAGTGTGCGTTTGTGTACATACAAGGGAATACACATGTATGTGTGTACGCGTGTATATCAGAGCGAGGGGGCTGAAACGAACGGTCATTCACTGTCCCTTGGTGCGTGGCTGAAGTGGAATTTTGCGATGCGGGTTATTATTGTTGTTGTTGGTGGTTGTTTGTTGTTTGTTGTTTGTTGTTTGCTGTCGTCGTCCCACCCGCGACCCGCCCCGCGATCCACCCGCGACCCACCCCGCGACCCACCCGCGACCCACACGCGACACACCCCGCGACCCACCCCGCGACCCACCCGGCGACCCACCCGCGACCCACCCGCGACCCACCCGCGACCCACCCCGCGACCCGCCCGCGACCCACCCCGAGACCCCCCTGGCGACCCACCCGCGACCCACCGGCGACCCACCTGCGACCCACCCGTGACCCACCCCGCGTCCCACCCGCGACCCACCCGCGACCCACCCGCGACCCACCGCGACCCACCCGCGACCCTCCTGCGACCCACCCCGCAACCCACGCAAAATGTTCGGCGCCTGCGGCGGGTTTCTTTTGCATAGTTCCAGGTGGAGAACCTGCGACCCACCCGCGACCCAAACCGCGCCCGCGACCCACACGCGACCCACCGCCACCCACTCGCGACCCGCGACCCACACAAAATGTTCGGCGCCTGCGGCGGGCTTCTTTTGCATTCGTTCCAGGTGGAGAACCTGCGACCCACCCGCGACCCAAACCGCGTTCAGTGTACAAATCAAAATGTTCGGCGCTTGCGGCGGGCTGCTTTTGAATTCCTTCCAGGTGGAGGTGGAGAACCCGCGACCCACCCGCGGCCCAAACTACGTTCACTGAACAAGCCTAAACTTCGGCGCCTGCGGCGGGCTGTTTGTGAATTCCTTCCAGGTGGAGGTGGAGAGCCCGCGACCCACCCGCGACCCAAACTACGTTAACTGAACGAGCCAAACAACGTTCACTGAACGGCTCGACGCCCCCGTCGCCCGCGCCCGCCCCGCCACTCTTATCCGCAACTGCGGGGTGCTACGTACAAAGAGAGAGAGGGAGAAAGAGAGAGAGAGAGAAAGAGGAAGAGAGAGAGAGAGAGAGAGAGCGAACGTGAAAAACACGAGAGAAAGAGAGAGAGAGAGAGGGATACTAATTGTATGGTATGGTCTGGAATCTCGTGTTGCACGGTAGGCCGCGTTATGGTAGAAGTATGTTGTATGCCGCGCTAGCCATAGTAGGATGTGCAATGGTATGCGATGCTCGTGTGTGTGTGTGGCGCTGCGAGATGCTATGGCATGATCGAGCATCATAGTTTCTAAGATGTTATGGAATGGTCAGAACTGTAATCTATTACTGCGTGCTGTTATAGTATGGTGTGTGTGTGTGTGCCCGCTCTGCCATTGCCGGTCTTGTGATGCTACGGTGCGCCAGGTTATGGGATGATGTGTTATGGTGTGTTATGCTATGGCATGTTGCGTTCAGGCACGTTGATGTATCATGCCATGATGTGTTGTGATATGCTCTGTGCTGTTGGTCGTGTTCTGCCATGCTCACAGGGGCGTGAGTCTCGGGGACTCCTTCGATGGACCTGGGGATCTGGCGGCCGCGGTATGCAGCGTGGGCAAGTCGGGTCCCAAGGGGCGGGAGTCCGCGGGAGTCTCGGGAACTCTCGGTGGACCTGTGAGCGGGTCGGGAGGCCCAGGAACCCCTACCGGTCAGGTGGGGAACAATACAACCAATAAGAAGAGCCGTAGGGAGGGAGAGGGGAGGCACACATGCACAAGCAACACACATCTACGCCTACACCGAGGGTGCATGCACGCACGCATGCAGGGACCAGTGTTTCATCCTAGTTTGTTTCCTTGTTGCTCCTCTGCCTGCTCCCCCTTCCCATCCTCCTCCTCCTCCTCCTCCTCCTCCTCCTCCTGACGACGTCGACGCCGACGTGGCTGTCGTTGGCGCCGCTGCTGTCACCGCCGCCGCCGTGGCCGCCGACGACGACGACAACGACGACGACGAAGACACCGAGGACGACGACACAGAGACCGACGACGACGACGACGACGACGACAACAACGCCGACGACGGCGACGACGACGACGACACCCAGGACGACGAGACCGAGACCGACGACGACGACGAGGACGAGGACGACAACGCCGCCGCCACCGCCGCCGACGACGACGACGACGGAGGAGACGGAGGGCACGGGCGGGGCCTCCGCCGCAGGGGACGCGGCGCCGCAGAAACTGTCCGCGAGGGCGACGGCCTGCCGGCGCCAGCGGCCGAAACCGGTATCGTCGGTCGCGCCGCCGCCGCCGCCGGCGTCGCCTTCGCCGCTGCCGTCGTCGACGGCGGGAGAAGAGCGGAGACAAGAGGAATGGGGCGAACGAGAGGAGGAGGAGGAGGAGGAGGAGGAGGAGGAGGAGGAGGGAGGAGGAGGAGAGGAGGAGGAGGAGGAGGAGAGGAGGAGGAGGAGGAGGAGGAGGAGGAGGAGGAGGAGGAGGAGGAGGAGGAGAGGAGGAGGAGGAGGAGGAGGAGGAGGAGGAGGAGGAGGAGGCAGGAGGAGGCTCCTGGGAAAGGGACCTTGGAGGCCGGGGACGACGACGGCGACGTCGTCGCGGTCGGCGTCGTCGTCGCCGTCGTCGTCACTGTCGTCGTCGCAGTTGACGGGGTGGGCTGTGGCGGAGGAGGCCGATGAGCCATGATTGAGTTCGTTAATCGTAGAAAGACTGAATCTGCTTAAATCCGCTGAAAGATACGTCTCCGAAGCTGGATTCCCCTCGAAACTCTATTCGGACCGCACTCCAGTGCTCCGGTGAGAGGTCCCGGGGTAGAGCTGTGGGGGGAACAGGAGGGGGAAGGATGGGTGAGGGGGAGATGAGGAAAGAGGCTCCAGGGGAGATCCGATGGGGCTAGAAGGTTGGGGGAATGTCCTCAAGAGTCCTGGTGGTCAAAGACTTCTCTCCTTTTGCCAAGCAAGTTGGCCCTTTCCTGGCAATATAGTTTTCTTCCTGGCGGGCAACTGGAGAAGAGCCCAACTTGGTGCGACTTCCCGAAGAAGTGGTGCACGACGTTTCTCTCCAGTCACTTAAGCAGTTCGCAACTGATATGGGGAGAACAGTGGTGACCGTATACATAGTATGATACACCACATGTGAATGCACATGGTTCACTTCAGGTGCGTGTAAAAGCATAAACATATCGAACTCCTCACTAAAGCACCGTATGTGCATGTTACCTGTCTTGGGTGGTGCAAGCTACGTAGTGCAAGCTTGCGAAATAACCTACCTGTTGCAAGCCATGTGGCGTGAGCCATGTGGTACAAGTTACGATGTGCGAGCGATGTTGCACAGTATGCACGTGGCGTAAGCTGCATGGCGCTGGCGATCTAGTGGAAGCTACGGGGCGCCAGCGGCCATTGCGTCCCAGTTGGGCCTTTGGGCCACATGAGCCTCATGGCCCTGGTCTGTTTGGGCCCTGTGATCCGCATGGGTTTTAATCACGGTGGGCCATGTGAACTCTACGAGCACCGTGGGAAGCATGGACATCATCAGCCCCCTCGCCGTCCGCATGGGCCTGTGAGCCTGACGGGCCGCATCAGCACGGGGGCCCTGTGTGCCCTCAACTGCCCTGCGAACCCTATGAACCCCCATGGTCTGCCTGGGGCGACGCCGAGGACATCGCCGTGCTTACGCCACGGATCCGCCTGGCGGGTCTCGCCTCGCGCACGCGGGCGCTGAGCGCGAGGGCGCGGGAGAGCGGGGGAAGTAGGGCTGAGGCGTCCGCGCCTACGCCCAGCCCTCCTTGCCGCGTCGGCCCTGCTGAGAGGTGGCGGCGAGCGCGGCGGGGCGTAGTGGGCCTCTGGGCCCTTGACTGGCGAAAATCCCTCGCGCAAAAAAGTCCCTCCCACCCGCAGTGTCCATCCGACTGTCCGTCTGTCCGCATGTCCGGCCAGTGCCCCCGAGACGCGTTGCATCTGCCGGCGCCGTGCTGCAAGGGTCACTGCAGCCTGTCGGAGCTGGCGGCCCTGACGACGGGGGTTGCCAGAGATGCTCCTGGCCCAGGGTGTCCCCAGCCTCTGGCGCCATCGTGGAGCCTCTTGGTGCCCTCTGGGCCTGGTCGTGGGGGGGTGAGAGATTGCTCTGGAGGCCTTGGCCTCTGGAAATGCCTGGTGTGCCCTGGGCCAGGACCTCGTCGCCAGCACCCGAGGGGTGCGGCGGCCGTGGCGGTGCTGGACCACGGCAGGCGCCAGCGAGGCAGCACCCCTCAACAGGGCGAGGGTCCAGGTGTCCTGATGTGTCCTGTGGGCGAAGGGTCTTTTTCCGATCATCCTCCGAACGTATGCTAGCGCCAAAATGTGCTTGTCCAAAGAAGCCCTTCAATACGGCCAGGCAGTGGCAACGAGGGCCAACACAGGCTGCGTGCTATCGGCGGCGTGAAAATGGGTGAACACGCATACGCTGAGGCTAACACATGTCCTGAGGATTAACAATTTTTTTCGCTGGCACGCGCGCGCCTTCTCGTCGTCGTCGGCAAGGCAGCGGCGGCGGCGGCCGCGGCGAGGAAGACGCCGGCGCCTGCTGCAACAGCAGCGACCGCAACGCCCAGCGCCGCCTCGACAGGTGGCCCTGGGCCTCGCAGCACTTGGTGGCGTCCTGCGGCCGCCCGCGCTCGCCGACGCCGCTCGCCGACGCGGCCGCCGCAGAGGCCGCTCGCTTTGGTCGTTAAGGGCTTGACGACTTCTGCCGTCCCTCGACTCTCGGTGGAGCGGCCACGATTTGCTCAAAAGTTCCTTGGATGTTTATTATGATCTACCTGGATTTACCTGGATGTACCTCTAGTGGTTTATACGTACCTTGATTTATCTAGCTTGATCCCCACAAGTCGATCGGTGAGAAGTCGTCAAGCCCGCAACTAGAGATTGGGTCTTAGGTTCTGCGAGAGGCCGCCGCCGACGCCGTGCGGCTCGGCTCCTCTTCCTCCTCCTCCTCCTCCTCCTCCTCCTCCTCCTCCTGTTCCCTGCCTCCATCCCGCCCTCCCTCCCTCCCTCCTCCGTCCTTCTTGACCCCTGATCGCCCGATCGCTGCGAGCTGTCTCGTGCGGAGCGGATCGCTGATCGTCGCGCAGGCTGTCTCAGGGGCTCTGGTGAGGCAGAACGGGAGCGACGGAGGAACCTCCCACACCACGCTGGAACCTCGGAAAAGGCATAGTAGATCTCACTTCCTCCTCCCTCCTCCCTCCTTCTTCTCCTCCTCCTCCACCTCCTCCTCCTCCTCCTCCTCCTCCTCGTCCTCCTGGTCCCCGTCCTTCGCCTCCTCCTCCTCCTCCTCCTCCTCCTCCTCCTCCTCCTCATCATCATCATCATCATCATCATCATCATCATCATCATCATCATCATCATCATCATGACCTTCCTCCATGTTTCATTTCTCGTTCCTCATCCTCCTGCCTTCTCTTTCGTCCTCGTCCTCCTCCTCCCCCCTCACTCCTCATCCATTCCCCTCCATGATTCGCGTCCTTTCCCATCCATCCATCCAAACCCTTCCTTTCCCATCCGTCCCCATCCATGATTCATTCCCCTCCATCCCTCATCATCCTGGGAGGTGATCCCTGGGGAGCCCCGGTGGCCCTCGCCCGCCCGGCATACCGCGGCCGCCAGTCCCCACGTGCCCCGGGTGGTCCATGGGGGTCCCGCCTCTCCAGCCCTGCATGACGAGGCCGCCAGGCCGAAATCACCCCCGCGTGCCCTTGAGCATCATGCCTCGCCGAGTCCAGCCAGAGAGTCGTCGCGGCGCCACGCCATCCAGGCGTCATGACGTCACACCGTCCGTAAGCATCCACATCATACCTCAAGACCAGATCTCAAGAGCACGTATCCAGAACCTACATCAGCACCACACATCAAGTTCATGCATCGGCCAAATATAACAAGAGCAACCCAGCACTCGTCACGAGATGCACGCCGATAACAGCTACCATCATAAGACATCACAGCAGGGCATTGGCACCACACGTCAAAACAGTCACCAATAATGATCACTAAGGTAATCACGAGATTAAATCAAGCACTCGAACCAAGCCATGACTAAATGGTACGCATCAGAACACACATACCGAACATCAAGCGCAAGCGTTGTTGCATGCACCAGTCACGCACATCAAGTACACGACCACGGTCAACTACCTGACAACGAAGACCACACAGTAAACACATTGACCTAACACATTCACCAGTAGCACCTACCAACGGGATGCGCCAATGTTACATCGGCATTGCACCACCAAATGAATCAACACCAACACTATATATAAATCACAAACTAAACATATACCAGTGGAATACTTGACCACGAACGTTAAGAATCTCCTGGCGAAAGACCCAACCATCTGCAGTTGTGAGTAACGCGTTGTGGGTGTCGCTTTCGGTGGAGCTCCCTGTGGGGCCACGAAACGCGTGAAGAACGTGCCGTAATGGGTGGGGTGGACGCATTCGGGCGGGGCCACTGGGGCCTTCGGTGGGGCTCACTATGGGCAACGAAACGCTGTCCTGGGTGTGGCTGACGCATGTGGCCACCCCCACTGGGGCCGCAGGTGGAGCTCTCTATGGGGCCACGAAGCGCTGTACTAGGTGTGGCGGACGCATGTGGCCACCCCCACTGGGGCCGCAGATGGAGCTCCCTATGGGGCCAGGAAGCGCTGTACTGGGTTTGGCGGACGCATTTGGCCACCACCACTGGGGCCTTGCGTGGAGCTCCCTTTGGGGCCACGGAACACTGTACTGGGTGTGGCGGACGCACGTGGCCACTCCTCCCACTGGGGCCTTTGGTGGAGCTTCTTATGGGGCCACGAAGCGCTGTACTGGGTGTGGCGGGCGCATGTGGCCACCCCCACTGGGAGCTCCTTATGGGGCCACGAAGCGCTGTACTGGGTGAGCGAAACGCAAGGAGGAAGGAGGGGGAGGAGGGGGAGGAGGGAGGAGGGGGAGGGGGGAGGAGGAGGAGACGCGGGGACCGTCTTTTCAAAACGAGGCCCTAACACCACAGGATGGTTTGGAAGAGTCTATCAAACTGATACACACAGATAAACAAGCAACTGACACACACAAACACACACGCCGATCATAAACACAGATAGCATACATTAGCAACGCACAGCATCACTAACCACCACACATAAACGAGAATGCCATATCCGATACGTACACCACGCACTGTCAACAATGTTATACATCGGCACCCGCCATCAAGACCATACATTATGACATTCGATGAGCCGTGAATGCATATGGCATACCCGGCACACATGTATAACACACCAGGCAACCATACACCAATGATGCACTTAAATGTGGCCGATGCAGGGGATGACCGGAGCGCCCATGTGAGCTCAAAACAAGAAGCGAGTAGCGGGAACCAACGGCCACTAATGGTAATGACAAGCTGCGCGGGGGGGGCGACAACCCTACTCAAACTCCGCCCCACGGCGGGGCTGCCACTAACTACCGCTAGTTGTCGCTAAGTTGCGTCCAACTTGAACAAGAACACATACATAACGGCAGCACCACACATACGTGATCGAAGTGTACAACGGGCGTGCGCAAATGGCACAAGTCCAATGTATAATGCCGTACACGCGTCATTCGTACGACTCCGTGCATGGAAACAACACCTGAACAAACCCGCGTTCACACCAAGCATGCAGAACATATGCAACAGCAATGCGGCAGCATTTCTGCAACAGATCACTCTGTCGAGTCATTCGCGACCGACTCCAACACTATTCGCGGCAGCTACATGGTGGGGGCCACGCGAAGCAAAGTACTTGCCATGCGGTTGTATTCGTGGTGCACGCATTTCCCCATGTGTGGTACTCCAGCGAGGCCCAATTACGAGGTGGCCCTAAGACAACCCAAGAGGCCCCGAAGAGGGCCCAAACTACGGCCCAAGAGGATATCTTAACGGCCCAACACGCCTCTAAGACGGCCCCCAAAAAGTCAAAGGAGGCCACCAGACGGTCAAAGAGACCCCACGACGAGGCCCCAGAAGGGCCCTAATGTGGCCTACAGAGGCCCCCAAGACGGACGCCAAAGGCGCCAGACTGCTCAAAAGCCTCCTGAGGACGACCCAAGGCGCCCCCAACAGGCCCCGAGCCTCAAGACGCCCCCACTGGCCTCCCCCCAAAGAGGCCACAGGAGAGGAGGGAAGAAGAGGGAAGGATTGAGACGACGACAGACAGGAGGAGAGACACGCCGGCACGGCGCGGAAGAGCGCGTCATGTGACAAGGTCCTCCCAACCTTGAGGACACGAGGTGTCACACGTTATGCCTCCCTGTGCGTCCCTCGAGCTCTCGCCACCAAGAGCGCTGAGATATCACTGCGGCGGGACGTGCCGCAGGCAGCTTGATAGACCCTCCTGGCCCCGAGTGTCCCCGGCCAGGCATGGTGGTGGTGAGTCTTCTGTGGAAGGGAAGCGGCTGGCGTGATCCAGGCAATGGGGTGGGAGGGAGGCAGCGCGGGCACACGTCCCGACGGTCCTGGGCAGCGAGCGCCAGGGGCACGAAGCTGGATATACTAGCTTCGTTTCGCCATGCATTTTTGCTGCTGCGCCACGGCGTGCCATCGCCACCCGTCGTCGCACGCAGGCCCCGAAGGGAGGGAGGAAGGACGGGGAGGGGGAGGGGGAGGGGAAAGGGCTCTGGGGGTGAGCGTGAGGCGTCGGATGCCTCGGACTCGGAGCGCCGGACGAATCAGCTTATGATCTTGATGGTCAAGATCTTGATGTCCACTAGCGGCCTGTCGTCGCAGTTCGTCGGCGTCTTCTCGATGTTCTGCGCCACGTCCATCCCTTGCAAGACGCGGCCGAAGACCGTGTGCTTGCCGTCCAGCCAGGGGCACGGCACCGTGGTGATGAAGAACTGCGACCCGTTCGTATTGGGGCCAGCGTTGGCCATCGAGAGCGTGAAGGGCCTGTCGTGCTTGAGCGACCGGTGGATCTCGTCCTCAAACTCGCCACCCCAGATCCGCCACCGCGATTGCAGCGGTTGGTATGCGTCGGGCCTTGTCGCCTGCTCCTAACCAATAACTTCAGCAGCCCCCCTCGACAAGCCCTGCGTTTTTCGCCTTCCAAGCAGAAAATTGCCCCAAATACGAAGCCCAGGGAAGGGAGGGGCATCCGTGGCCCCTCCACCCTCCTCCCACACCAAGGCGCTCCCCCCGCGCGCACCCGAGCGCAATGGCGGAATCACGCGGCAACGCAACCGGATACTCTCGCCGCCAGTACCATCGCCTTGGGGGTCGCCGCATTGCAGCATGAAGCCCTGGATGACGCGGTGGAACAGCGTGTTGTCGTAGTAGCCGTTCTTGGAGTGTACGGTGAAGTTCTCGATGGTCTTGGGGCACTCCTGGAAGAACAGCTTGACAACGATGTCGCCCATAGTGGTATGGATTGTCGCCTGCTTGCCCAACGGATTCTCGGTCCTGATCGAAGCAGCCACAGCGGCGTCCTCCTTGGTCGGCTTCTCGTTGAAAATGTCTCTGCCGTAGTCGGAGGTGCTCTCTGGAGGCTCCCGCGTGCTGAACACGAAGAACCTAAATGAAAACACAATGACAGAAACATTAAAACTCGGAGGTCCGCGCGGATTTCTCGGATCGGCGCCAGCGGCGGCGCCAGAGGACCCGAGAAATTCTGCATGGGACTCCGAGTTTGCATGCTAATGCCACTGTTTGTTCCCCGAGAGGATCCTCTGCTTCTTGTAGGCGGTGACGAAGGCTATGGGGTCGGCCAGCTCCTGCGTGCCGTGGTCCCCCTCCACGACGGCCTCGCCAGCCTCCGCCCTCTTCCGCATGGGCTTACCCTGGAAGAGCCCTATGCTCAGGAACCTCTCGGGGGGACGAGAGGGTGGAATAGCAAAGGGTGTGGTAGAGAATCAGCTCACGTAGCTGGGGTTACTGGCGCCTCCTGGCGCCGGGAGGCGCCCGTGTATTGAGGAATGGACCTGGCGGCGGGGCCGCAACCAGCTGCGCACAGAAGATTTTATACCCCCCTTTCCCTATCCTACCCTTTCGTCCGGCCCGCACCTCTCGGTCTGCTCGATCTTCCCCAGGATCCTGACGAGCTTATTGGTGTGAATGTTGATAACCTTCACGCCGATCAGGGAGGGGTATAAAAGAAAATTCCCCGACTCGTCGAAGGTCACCTGCTGGTGCATGTTTGACGGCGACTTTCTCATCTCCTTCTCTACGGCGATGCGCCGGCCGAAATCGAATCGGTCCAGGTGCAGCTCGGGCATGTTGGGGTCGCTCTGGGCCGCGGTGAACATCTCTAACGACTCGTCGTACGCCCGGAACATCTTCCCGGTGCTGAAACGGAAGATCCTCAGGCGACCATCCTCACAGACCATGGCAAACATGGAGCCGTCCGAACTCACTGCAAGAGAGATGGCGAACGTCTGATTCTTCAGGAGTTCGTACAAGGACGTCTCGCTCTTGAAAGAGAACTTCAAACTCCCGGGCCTCGTCTTCGCGGTGGGCATCTGCATGGTGTCAGGATCCCACAACTCCAGCGCGCCCGATTGGTCCGCACTCAGACAGGCGTGCAGTTGCGGGTTGTACTTGATGGCGTGCACTGCCCCCGAGTGCAGCTCGAGGGTGCGGAGCGGCTCGCTACTCCCAGTCTCCGGGTTGAGTATGTGTATCCTGCCGTCGTCAGCCTGCGAGCAGGCAACCAGTGCCGAGGGAGCATTCTTCTTGTGCACAAACTCCACGGCCAGCGGCGAAAACTTGAGCTTGATCATGCAAGTCATGTCGAAGGAACATACCTCGAACATCTTGAGGGCGCTGTCGGTACCTATTGTAGCCAGCAGCCGCCCGTCCTGCGACAGCGCCATACCCGCGAGGGCACCGATGTGCGCGCGGTAGTGCTTGACGAACTCTATGCCCTCGTACTGTTTCTTCCAGAACTTCACGTGCCCGTCCGCGCTGCCCGTGATCAGGAAGTTCGTGATCGAGCTTACCACCGCAAAGGTCACCGTGTCCCTGTGCATGAAGCTCTTCTCGTACATCTCCCCCTTGGGCAGGTTGTCCAGGTAGACGTGCTCCTTCTTCAGCACCTTCTTCTTCTTCAGCTTCGCGGGCGCCGGCGGCGGCGCCATGCCCCCGAACCCGTCGTCGTCCGAGTCGTCATCGTCGTCATCGCCGCCGCCATCCAGGGGCCGCTTCTCCCCGCCGCCGGCCCCAGGCGGCGGCCTGATGCCCCCGAACCCGTCGTCGTCCGAGTCCTCTTCGCCGCCGCCGTCCACGGGCGGCTTCTCCCCCCCGCCGTCCTCCGCCATGGCCCCGCGGCGGGCGGCGCCGCCCGCCCCCGCGCCCAGGGCGAGGCGGGGCGCTCAGCCCGGGCCCGCGCTGAGCCCTAACGGCTGGCGGGCCGGCCGCCGCCCCCGCCGGCCTGCGGCTGGGAGCCAGCCCGTCGGTGTCTCGCCGGGCGAGTGTTCGTCCGCGGGCGGGGGGGGGCATATGCTTGGGAGGAGGAGGAGGAGGAGGAGGAGGAGGAGGAGGAGGAGGAGGAGGAGGAAGAGGAGGAGGAGGAGGGAGCGTGGCCACTTCTTCTTTTCGCGGTGGCTTGGGTCCAAGACGCGGTCGGGGCAGCCGAGGGACACTGCGGGGCGGAACTGGCCACGGCAGGAGCAGGGGCGGCGAAGGGGGGGGAGAGGACGCCGCGGGCGGCGGAGCAGGCTCGGAGCGGAGCGTGACCGCAGTCGTGCGCACGCCGCTGCCCATCTCGGGCGGGCTCGCGTGGCATTCCCAACCCCCCCCCCTGTGCCCCAGCGGCTTCCTGCTGCACGCAGCGGGCGGGGCCGACCCGCGTGGAGTTTGCTGTCGCTCACCCCGGCGGGGAGCCCACGCGGGGTGAGGGCACGCGGGCCGCGCGGGCGCCTCGTGGGCCCGCGGCGGCAGCTCGGGGGCCGTTTGGGGCCCCTCGTCTGCTGCCTGTGCAGCTGCTGGGGCAGCAGGACACGCAGAAGAGAGCAGACGCGCTGCTCTCGCGGGCGGAAGACACCTGTGCGCGGGCAAACATTCTCGACGTCGGCGCTGTTCGCAGAGGCGCGAGCAGTTCGCAGAGGCGCGAGCGGAGAACGCGAGGGTCTGGGGCCTGGGGCATCTCATTGCTGCTTCGAGCCGATCGATTGAATTCTCGTCTGGCGCCCATAACCACGAAAGATCTTTCAGAAACCCCGTTTCCAATGAGATCTAATGATTTCTGTGCGGGCGTCTTGACGGATTGGGACTGGGCGCAATGTTGGGAACATCAATTGCCTCTCGCGGCGATCACTGCTGGGGTTCCAGTGGGTTCCTCAAGAGTCCGCTCGTCAACTTCCCCAGCGGCTCTGTGGACAGGTCTCCACATGACGAACAGGTGGCACGCAGGCCAAGGTAGGAGAAGAGGAGGAGGAGGAGGAGGAGGAGGAGGAGGAGGAGGAGGAGGAGGAGGAGGAGCAGGAGGAGCAGGAGGAGCAGGAGGAGCAGGAGGAGCAGGAGGAGCAGGAGGAGGCGGAAGGGGGGGGGGGAGACACTGGACTCATACCCGGAAGTGCGGCCTGGGCTCCTCGGGCGCGCTCCCCAGTGCAAGCAGGGACGCGCCGCCGGCGCGGACGTGCTTCGCCTTCAGAGCGCAGAGGCCCCGCGGGGGCCGCGTGGCGGTGCCGCGGCCTCGGTGCCCGGACCGCGAGGCCAGAGATCGCGGGCGCGCTCGCCCCTCTCGGCATCCGCCTCCCCGTGAGAGAGACACGGGCGTGCGACGTCCCGACGTCATGCGCCGCTCCCGGGGGCCGGCGCTACATCCCGAGCCGTTTGCTGGGGCGCACGAGGCCCGGCGAGGGCCCCTGGAGGCCGAAGGTGGCTCAAGACCGTCCGCTAGGATTTGTCACGACGCGAGCAGGCGTTCCGAGGAGATGGGGTCGAAAGATCGCGCCGCATCTGCGTGGAGAAAATCGGGCTCGACATCGAGCTGCATCGCCGAGGCAGCGGCGATGCGGCGAGATCCTCCGACCCCATCTACTCCGACCACGTTTGGGAGGCCCAGAAGCATCGAGTCGATGAAGCGGGTCGGACTGGCATGTGTCGGATCGGGCTGCCTCGGCACGGGGTCGGAATCGAATCGCATTGGCCGCGCCAGGATGCACGGCAGCGCCATGCAAACATCGAGTCACATCGGACCGTCGGGATATCGGAACCTATCTGCCCCGATACACAGCACGCAACACAGAGCGTGCCGACACGGAGCCCAATACGGAGACCGAGCACGTACATGGGTCTGGCGCGGTACAGTCGGGGCGTTGACCTAAGGAACCCTAAATAAGGAACGAGGCCCCTTTTTTCCATAAGTTAAACTTCGATTTCCTATCGAAAATATAAGGGAAACCTGAGGCAAGCTGTGACACACTTAAGGAACGCGGAGCCCCTCCCCAACGAAGAGGGTTCCTTCTTCAGGGCCCCGACTGTACGCTCGCCAGGAGCGTGGGCCAACGCGTGCCGAACCAACACGCGGGGCGCGGTGGCGCTGCCGCTTCGAACACGGCGCGTGCTGCGTCGCAGCACGGGCGCAGCGGGGCAGCGGAGCACTGGCGTGGACATCCAGGAGGAGGAGGAGGAGGAGGAGGAGGAGGAGGAGGAGGAGGAGGAGGAGGAGGAGGAGGAGGAAGAGGAGGAGGGGGCGCCCGCCTCGAAGTTCAGCACGATGCCGAAGTGCCCCGACGAGCCTGCCGCGGCAGCCTCGCGGAGAGGCGCGCGCGCACGCGGAGGGGCGCGGCGGCCGCGGGCGCGCACGCCCGCCTGGGCTCGGCCCGGCATCGGGCGCGGGGCCAGCGAGGAGGAGGGGGAGGCCACGGGGGGCACGAGGACCGCCGAGATCCTGCCAGTTTCAGGCCCCAGGGCCCTCGCAGGTCGATCCGGCCCGGCCAAGTGCCACAGCAAGATGGGGCCTGGGGCTCTGGTCGCGATTGTTCAGGATGTTGCAACTTGTTCGCAGCATCGGAGCTCAGGGAGCGGGGGGTCCCGACTCTGTGGGCCAGTCCCCGACCCCGTGGGGCTTCCGATGGGCCCCCCTCCCAAAAAGAGGCCAACTTCGGGGATGTGCACGACTGGCGAGAGGGGAAGGGCGGCCGACCACCTTCGATATAGTGGTCACGGCGACCCCAGTCCCCGACCCTGTGGGCCAGTCCCCGACTCTGTGGGACTTCCAGAGGACCTCGGAAACGAAGGCCAACCTGGAGTCGGCGCTACATCGCCGATCGGTCCGCGATAGGCCCTCGAGAGCGAATCCGCACGGTTCTGTGCGGAGTGGGCGCGTTGCGATGCGTGTGCGATTGGGGGTCGAGGCATCCTCCCCCTGAGGGGACGTTTCTGCTTTCGTTGCCCCTGAGGGGCGTTTCTGAGCGGCCCCTTCCCGCAAGGGTGTAACCTCCCCTCGCGAGCTTCCCTTGGAAGCGAGCCCGAGGGCAAGTGAGAGGAAGAAGGCCTTCTCAGACGGCGGCGGGGCTTCTCAGAATCCCTCCGGCCTTCTGTGAGAACTTGCTCGTGTCCTCGGGGAAGGCTTCACAACCTTCTCTCAGGAGGGCCGCGGCCTCCCGAGCCCTCTGAGAAGCCTCCCCCCAAGCCTCCCCCCCTTCAGCTCCCCAGACCCCCGACGTCGCGTTTTTCTTCGCAGCGTCGACCCCCACAAGGTCTCGACCCCCTCCCAGGGACCGGCTTCTCCTCCCGAGTCCTTCCTCGACGGCCCCGAGGCCCGGCAAGGGCCCCCACAGGCCGAGAGCAGCGACAACACGCGATCCTGCTCACAACGCGGGGGGGTCTGGGTCCGCGCTCCTCCTCCTCCTCCTCCGAGTCGGTCCTCGACGGCCCCGAGGCCCAGCATGGGCCCCCCAGAGGCCGAGAGCAGCGACAGAACCGCGACGGCTTCTGCTCACAACGCCGGGGGGGGGTCTGGGTCCACGCGGCCAGCCTGCTGTTGCGGGGGGGGGGGGGGGGGGGGGGCGCGGGGGGTCGGGGGCGAGACGTCGCCCCGCGGCCAGAGGGCGGGGGGGGGCGAGGAGCGCGCCCGGAGGGGCGAGGGCCGAGGGCGCGCCGGGGGGGCCGCGGGCCCGGGCTCGGCGCAGGACGGTGCCGAGGGAGGAGGGAGCAGGAAGGGAGGGGGAGGGGAGGGGGAGGGAGGGGGAGGGAGGGGGAGAGGGAGGGGACAAGCTAGGTGCGCTCGCGTCATATCTGACATCCTACCCCTCCCTCCCATCCCTTACCATGGCGTAGGTCCCCTCTCTACTCGCACAGTTGGATGTCGAGCAGGGCAATGATCGCGAAAGGGTACGCGGTGCATTGTAGAGCACGGCATGGCATGGCGTAGAAGAGCACCGCAAAGCGTAGCATCAACCTAGCATTGCATTGCATGCCGTGGCATGGCACGGAAAATGACGCCAGCGCTGCAGCGGGAGCACGAGTCGAAACGAGCGGAAGCGCGGAAATGAGGCCAGCGCTGCAGCGGGAGCACGATTCAGAACGAGCGGAAGCACGGAAATGAGGCCAGCGCTGCAGCGGGAGCACGATTCGGAACGAGCGGGGCCCGAAAATGAGGCCGGCGCCTCAGCGAGAGCAGCATTTTGAAAAAAATGCAAGCGAAAACCCAACTCTCGGGAATCCTGTGTGTAAAAAAACAATACGCGGGGGGGGTCGAACACTCCCAGCACGTCATCAGGGGAAGAGGGAGAGCAGTATTCATATTGAGTAATTGTGGAAGAGGGGGGGGAGTGGAGGGAGGGGGAAGGAAATGGGCGACCACGCGTGTCTGTCGGGGAGCAGGAGGAGGAGGAGGAGCGACGGGGGGCGACGGGGGGCCAAGGCCCCGCATGTGCTGCTTGAGCCGCGGAGGGCAAGGGAGTGGCTGCCCCGCCCCAGGTTTTTTTTCAAAGCGCTCGCTGTACATGGTCTTCAACTGCATTGGTGAAAGGCCTGGCAAAAGCAGCAGCGTCACTGAATGACAGACACACAGGCAAAAGTGCTGCCTACAGAGGAGTTGCTTCCCCGCCCCAGGTGGGGCACAGGCACGCTGCTGGTAGCCATTGGTGTAATCTCAGCAAGACATGGGCACAGCCTAGCAGCGCGGGCCCCAGCTCACACTACCTGCGTCCGCCATGTCGAGCGATCGGTGGAATGCGCGACAACACTGGGAACTCTGCCCCTGCACGGCAGATTTATGAGAAACCAGCTGGAGGTCCGAACTTGAGGGATGTCTGCAGCGAAGTGGCCCCCAGCGGGGGTGCCCGATACCCCAGCGGCGATTGGACCCGTAAAGGTAGGGTTCAGAATTGGTCGCAGAGGAAGCGGATGCACAATGGAGAGGAGGGGAGGGAAGCGGGCAAGGAGGTGACCGTCCCCGGACTCAGACGTTCCGATTATGTTCCTCACGGGAGCCTCCAAAACTCTGGTTTTCAGGACCCCTTGAATTGTCAACCGCAGCGCTGTGGCACAGTCACCTGGCGTCAACCACGAGCCGACCATCGGAGTGCACACCAGCCGAGGGTCCGCCAGCGGCTCCCAGCAGCCGGTGCTGCGCGGCAGCACAGGGGAAGAACGGGAGCGAGAAGCAAACAGGCGACGGCGAGCACGCGAGCGGGACGCCAGGGCCCGCAGGACGACGCAGGCGGGCGGGCGGGCGGGAACGGCAGGGGCTATCCGCCCCCGGACGGGGGGCCGTGCGCCGGACGGTCCCAGAGCCCGGAAGCGGCCGGCCTCCAGAGGGGTGCTGTGCTTGTTGTTGGTCCGGGAGGCCCAGGAGCAGCGGGGGGGGGCCAGTGGTCTTCAGCGCAGCTGGGCCTCTCCAAGGAGCCTTGAGACGCGCGTGCTCGATGCACGATCGTGATGCAGGGCTCGAGGTGGAGCCGAAACAGAACTCGCTGCACGCAGCGTCGCTACGGTCAGTCAACATGCCTGGCTGCAACGAGTCCCTTTATCAACCACGGGACGAGCTGCGCCAACCTGCCAACGAGTCTGCGGGAGGCCCTGCACCAGCTGGTCCAGATGTTGTGAAAACGCACTCGGGAGCGCGGGACGTCACATTAGTCGAGAACTCGGCTGGTCGCCGATCGACGGATCGACTGATGGAGACGTCGACCAACCCATGCCTGCAATGACACGATATTTTCGAGCCGCTAGCCCCGAATGATCACAATACCCTCCACAGGAAAATGTGACCCATACCGACAGGGTTGGGCTGTTAGATATTTTTTGGAGTATCCCGAAGGGCCTCGCCCGCCCTGAGACCCCTTCCACAAGAAACCTTCCACAAGAAACCCAACCCTGAGACCCCAGGACGTCCACTGATTATTGGTGTGGGAACGTCACACTTTCCACAGCAAACCATCGCCACACAAGAAACCCAGAGCACCACGGAGGCAAGCAGGGCGTTTCTTGGCATGGGTTTCCACTGTACCGCGGCCGCCATGCCCCAAGACTCAAGGTGATCCCTGGAGGTATCTCGCCTCGCCCCCCCCGCACACCGCGGCCGCCAGGCCCCAAGACTATCGGGGTGGTAACCGCGGCCACCACGTCCCAGGGATCCGCGAGAGTCCGATGGCGATATCTACGAACAAGCATATCGAGCAGGCGCAGGTAACATAGAACTCCACCAGGGAAGCGTCGTCACAGAGTCATGCAGTCCAGGCGTCACGACGCGACGCCATGCCGTCCTCCAGCGCCCAGAACATACATACAGGTCATACCCGAACGAAATGCTTGTACAGTGTATGTCTATAATACGCTTTAGACGATCTCCAACGATGAATATCATAAGCCTGCATGAAACAGGCACACCACGAATAGACATTGGCACCAGACGTCCATAACGACAGCCAAGCACAGATATCAATAACATGGATCAACACATGAACAACACCAATCCACAAATAAGAAGCACCATGAACCGATGACAGCAACAAATGTCAATGACCGTCACCAAGGACATACACAATTCGCACGCATCAATACCAGACGCGGGAAAACCTGCATCAAAAACACACGCCGAGACCATACAATAATTACAGACATCAACAACTGTCACCACGTACACCTATACTATACATCGAAAATAAGCACCCTGACTAGTTTGACATCAAGGTCACGCACCGAAACGAAACATCGATGTGGCCGAGCAGTCTCAATGAAACACAACATCCACAAAGGAAAGACCCCACGAACTGACACCAAGCGCATACACAGGACACAGACACCGGCGTCACACATAAGGGCAAAACATCAGGAACGTACTTCAAGAAGAGACGCCACGAGTTGACATCAGGTACAGTCACCAAGCACGTACACCAATACATGGTATACATCAATAGCGGACGCCCAGGAGGAGGCGCAGGGAGACAGGCCGGGAGGCAACGGCAAGCAGGCGGGCCAGGCAGGGGTCCGGGAGGCAGGGACCGCCAGCGCCGAGGAGGCGGCCGGTCCAGCGTCACCGAGCGGGCGGCCCCGCAGGCGGAGCGCAGGAGCGAGTCGGAGCTGTCGGGGGGAGGGATGGGCCGTCGGGGTCGTCGGGGTGGCTGGGGTCGCCAGGGCTGCCAGGGTCGTCGTGAGGTAGAGGTCACTCGCAGTCACTGCGGTCAAAAAAAATGCGAGTGGCCCTCAGCCGACGCTCCTGCGCAGTGCCATCCAGGCTGAAGAAGAGCCCCTGGAAGGCGAAAACTAGCCCTTGGCACACAAAACACATCAGCATCCGTGAAGGCTTGCTTGTCCTCTCGATCGGGTGGTAGGGGGTGCTCGTCCAGAATTGGCCAGGGCGGGCTGCCGCGTTGAGGCCTGGTCCGCAGGGGCCCTTTCGGGTAGTGCCCGCCCGCCAGCCGCCCGTGAGCGGGGAGCACAAGGGGGATGCGTTCCAAGGGCCTGTAGACGTGTCTGAGGTCCCCACTGGGGTTCGAACGATGTTCTCAAATGACGCCCAATGGTTTTGGAGGCGCTCGGCGGTTTTCGAGGAAGGAGTGGACGGGTGAACAAGATGGAGAGAGGAACGAGGAGGAAGGGAAAAGAGGAAGAAAAGGCGCCCTCTCCTCCTTCCTCTCCACCTCCTCCTCCTCCTCCTCCTCCTCCTCCTCGAGATCCTCTTCCTACTCCTGATCCACCTTCTTCTCCCATTCCTTCTCCTTCCTCCTCCTCTTCCGACGACGACGGCGAAGGTGCCAGCAACGACGACGACGGCGACGGCGACGGCGGCGGCCGCGCTGGCCCGGCCGCCTCCCCGGGGGCGCCCTGGCCCCTCCGAGCGTGCACAGCCAGGTGCAGCGACCTCTCTCTCGCGCGAGCCCGCACGGCCGCCGCCTCCGCCACCGCCGCCGCCGCCGCCGCCTAGTCGTCGTCGTCGTCGTCGTCGTCGTCGTCGTCGTCGTCGTCGTCGTCGTCGTCGTCGTCGTCGTCGTCGTCGTCGTCGTCGTCGTCGTCGTCGTCGTCGTCGTCCTCGTCGTCGTCCTCGTCGTCGTCGTCGCAGCGTTCATCGTCGCCGTCGCCGTCGTCGCAACATTCATCGTCGCCGCCACCGTCCTCGGAGGTCGTGGTCGCCATCGCGGTCGAAGCCGCAGTCGTCGTCGTGGTGGTAGTGGGCGTCGGCCTCGTCGCTCTTTTGGTGGTCGTCATCGCTGTCGCGATCTTCGTCGTCACTGAAGGCGGAGGAGAAGGAGAAGGAGGGAGCTGGAGGGGAGGAGCAGGAGCAGGAAGGAGGAGGAGGAGGAGGAGGAGGAGGAGGAGGAGGAGGAGGGGGCGGGGAGCAGGGGGAGGAAGAGGATGCAACAGAAGGATCAGGAGTGGGAGAAGAATGGAGATTAGATCCAGGATAGCGGCGAGGATGCGAGGACAGGATGAGGGGATGGGAAGGAGAGGCGTGGAGGGGACGAAGGCCAGGGATGGGATGGAGAGGGGAGATTAGTTACCCGTCAGTCCATGACTCCTTGCGCTCCTCCTTTCGCACACAGCAATCCCCGCAGTCCTCCTCCCGCATTGGCCACCGACGAGCCATGGCTGACCCTTCCCCATCACCCCGACCGCGCCCCTGAGAAATTAGTGTTTGCGGATGTCCCAAAGGATTTCGGCAGAGGTCGGAATTGGTGCAGGACTGTATCGCTAGACGTGAGACAGAGTATGAGTTGTTGGGATCACGTTCGACGACAACGATGCGACGACGCCGAAGGCAGGGAGAACAGGCGCGGCATCAAACGAGGAGCAAAGAAGGCGTGAGGACAGATGGAGCACAAAGGGCTAGGCTGCACGGGCCGCCAGCAAGAGAAGACGGCCACCGACGAGCACAAATGGTGCAACAACCATAGAAGAAGAAACAACTGCACTAGCACAACATAATGAAGCTCCGCGCGAATTTCTTGGATCGGCGCTGGACCCCCCTTCCCTGGCGCGCAGAGCGTGCCAGGGGCGGCGCCAGAGGCGCCGCAAGGGCGGTGCAGATCCAAGGAGTCGGCTCAGAGGCTGCAAGAGTTTACGGTCGGCTACTTTTGCTTAGCGCGTCGCTGCGGCGGCCCCGGAAAAAAACAAGCGGACGGCGTGTCGCTCCGCTCCGCGGGGTGGGGCTGGGAAAGGCTCAGGACGTTGATGCTTGGGGGCTGGGATGCAGATAGCGTGCCGCGCCAAAGCGTGGTGGAACGGACCTGCTGAGGCGACACGCTACCCAAAATGCCCCGACCGTACGTTTAGGCCTCTTCTTCTTCTTCAGAAGCAGGTGCCGCGGTCCTGGGATCACTCCGGTCGATCGCCGAGTCCACCTGCGGGGAGCCGGGCGCAGCAGGTGCGGACACGCACCGGTGGTGCGGCCCGCTGCCATCGCGCCCCGGTGTGGGCAGCCCACCGGCACCAGCTCTTGGCAACTGGCGTGCCCAAATGCGGCAAGGGCGACGTCATCGGAGCACTGGCGACGTCGCGTTGAACAAATCGGGCCCCATAACGAGCCGCATCACCGATGCATCGCTGTTGCCGCGCAATCCACCGACCCCATCTGCTCGGACACGATTTGGAAGGCCTGGAACTCATGGGTCCAACCGCGGCGCGGTGAGGGCATTGGAAGCCAGTGGAGTTCCAATCGTGGATTGACCATTGACATCGCCGGCGCCCTGATCAGATGAAGAATCATCGAGGGTCTGAAGCCTCCTGGACACATTCCTGAACGAACGCCCCAACCGCATGATCACCAAGAACACCTGTGGCCAGAGGCACATTGAAGAAGTGCTACGGTATGTTTGCACAGTAGAGATATGCTCGCAGCAGAGGGTCACTCGGACAACCCAGCTCCCCTGTCTGGCACTGCACGCAATCGTCAATACGCAGGCGAGCGGCACCAATCTTGAAACAAGGGTTCTTGCCCTTGGGAAGTATGAGCGCAGACTCCGACGTGCTGTGCAACCGTCCCCAGCACGTGCTTCGCGGCTCACCTGAAGCCAAATAAACGCCTCATCACGTGCAAGCTTCATCGCTGCACCGTGAGAGCCCGCTCGTGCGCTGCTGGTGCACCGAACCAACTTGGGCTGTGCATCATCACAGTGCGAGGCGACACAGCGGCAGGCATGGCGACCCCGATCCCCGACTCCGTGGGGCTATAGGCTGCAGAGCAGCATGTGGCTTCCAACCAGGGGATCTAGACAGTGGTGGGGCGTCCAGCCTCGACGTGGGTGCATCCAAGCCTTCGACGCCCCAGGGGTGTGCCCGCGAGAGGAGAGGCGCCCGGGGCCTCCTGGCGAGAGACCGCCTGCGATCATGCGAGGCACCGTCACGGTGAGAAGCGATGCGGTCCACCACTGCTGCGAAGCGTGTCGCGGTGGCGGTTGGCCTTGACGTGAGGCCCCTCCTTCTGCCGTCCTCCCTCTGTCAATTAAAGCTGTGCGCGGCCCGCTTAGCTTCGACCGGAAGAGGCTCGCCCTCGACCCGCGGATCAAAAAAGCCGCGGTGGCGGCCCCGGCGACATGCGATGCCACGCAGGCGGGTAGCACGTCGCTCCGCTCCGCGGGACGGGGGGCTGGCAAAAAAAACACCCGAGGTGCTGACGCCTGGGGGCCGGACCGCGGAGCGCGCGTCGCGCCGAAGCGCGGTGGGCCAGAACCCGCGGCGCGTCACGCGAGGCCCAAGCTTTAAGTCGGGCCTGTCCCCCTGCAGGGGTATTTGCGACGAAAAATAGAAAATACCAAAAATAATCAAAAAATAATCCAAAAATAGTCTGGGGACTATTTTGTGAGTATGTTTGACCTTTGTGGGGCATTTGTGACTATTGTCTATTTTTCGTCGAAAATCCCCCTGTAGGGGGATACGCCCAACATAACCCAAGCTCTTGACCGTGTGTGGCCCCGGCGGCGCCGTGGCACTCTGCTCCGCGGCTAACGCTCGGGCCCGCGGGTCAAGGATCGGCCAGACACCGCCAGCGGGGACTTCTGCAGGAGCCTGCCAGAGGGCCGCCCGCCCCCCGAGCAAGTGGGCGCAGGGCCTGCACAGATCCACCGCTCGACGAGATGTGATTTCTTGTTCCTTCCTCGCAGTGGACGCCTCGTTGCGCTGTCCTCCTCTTCCGACTCCTCCTCGTCAGCCTCCTGCCGCTTCCTTCTCCTCCCTCTTCTCCTCCTCCTCCTCCCGAATAATGAAGAACAGCAGGGTGCCATTGCCCTGGCTGCTCGGAAAGCAGGCGCGGAGCGCATGCGAAGCCGAGTTACGCCCCCAGGCCAGAACGGCCGGGGCGCATCATCATCATCATCATCATCATCATCATCATCATCATCATCATCATCATCATCATCATCATCATCATCATCATCATCATCATCATCATCATCATCATCATCATCATCATCATCATCTATCATCATCATCAACATCATCATCATCATCATCATCATCATCATCATCATCATCATCATCATCATCATCATCATCATCATCATCATCATCATTACCACCATCATAACCATCATCATCATCTACAGCATCATCATCATTATCGTCATCATCTACAGCATCATCATCATCAACATCATCATCATCATCATCATCATCATCATCATCATCATCATCATCGTTGACGTCGTCGACGTCGTCGTCACCACCATCATCCCAAATTCCAGCCACTTCTCCTCCTCCTCCTCCTCTTCCTCTTCATCCTCATGGGTCTGGCCTCCCAGCGTCACATTATTTTATCCAATGCCTTCGACCACAAAGTCGACCTCGCTCAACGGCCTCATTGTAAGCAAATTCGCTCCCTCACATTACATCGTCATCCCCCGTACCCCTGCTCCTCCGCGCCTTCCACATCCACTTCCTACCCACACCTCTCTAAAGTATCCGCGTCAGGGTCCTCGATGCTCATTCCTCTTCCCGCCCCATCCCCCCCCCACACACACTGCTCCATTGCAATATTCTCACCCTCGCCCTCATTGCCCCTGTCCTCCTTCTCCACCTCCGCATCCTCCTCCTCCTCCTCCTCCTCCTCCTCCTCCTCATGATCTACCTCCGTTTGCCCGTTCCCCCCTCCTCCCAAGTTCTCCCCTCCCCCCTCTCCGTCCTCCCCCACCCCTCGTTCCCTTCATCCCGCCAAGTATCGTCCTCCCCATGCACCCTCCTCCTGCTCATGCCTCTGCCTCGTAGGTTCTCTCCGCCCCATCCTCGCATTCTCCCGATTCTCCATTCCGCTTACCTGCATACGATATCCTCCTTCCCCGTCTTCTCCCCATCCTGCATAACCCACTCCTTCTCCCCCGCACTATGCCATCCTTTCTCATCCTCGTCGTCAGTCTCTGCGCGACCGTCACCACCACAAACACCATCACAATCAACATCGTCAGCAGCAACATCAAGAAGATCAGACTTAAATCAATGATCAGCAATCCCGTCCGCATGACAACGACCATCATCAACGACAGCATCATCATTAGCCACATCGTAATCCGAATCACCGTCAGATTCAACATCACAACCCAATCAGAATCGCCATCAACATGACCGCCGATATCGTCTTCGTAATCCGGACAACCACCATCGTCATCACCATGAGAATCAGCAGCCCCGTCCTCAGCATAATTACCAAGATCATGATCATGGTCAGTATTATGCAGATCGTCAGCAGCATCACCATCATAAGCATAGAATCACCATCACCATCACCATCACCATCACCATCATCATCATCATCATCATCATCATCATCATCATCATCATCATCATCATCAACAGCATCACTATCATCATCAGCATCCTCATCATTAGCGCTGTGTTCGTTGACATGGCTAGCGTAGTTACGCCATGAGGATCGGCATCGGTTTCTCATCAGTATCACCATCATCATCATCAGCGATATAATCAACATCCTCAGCATAACCAGCGCCGTCGCCATCCTGTCATCATAGCCAGTATTACCAAAACGCCCGAAGCAGCATCACCATTACTGTTGTTACACGTAGCGTGGTCATCCTCACCACCATCGCCATGGTCAGTGCCACTATCCATCACAATGACCATCACCATCATCAGCAGTAGCAACATGGTCCCCCTGCTCCTCCTCGTCATCCTTCTCGTCATCATCATCCATTCCTCAATCCTCATCCTCCTCCGTCTCCCCGTCCTAGTCGCCTCTTTCATCCCCCATCCTTCACGCGATCGTCCTCCCTCTCCTCCTCCTCCTCCGCCACCTCCTCCTGCTGCTCCTGCACCTGCCCCCTTCGCAGGGGCATGGTACTGTAACCTGGTGCCAGCGCCACCTATTGCAAAGGGTGCACTGTCATGGAGCTCGACTCAGGGCGCTGAGGACAAGAAGGCGGCCGTCCTTTGCCATGGTGGAGGGTCCAACCCCCTCGCGCCATGGGTTAGTTTCAAAGGCTTGGCAATTCTTGCCCTCGTGGGTCCGCGTGGCTGGCCCGCAGTGATCGGGTCGGCGCAGCGGGGTCCGCAATATCATGATCTCTGTGTCTCCAACGGCGGGTGTTTTATTCACCCCTGAAGCACCGAAGACACACACACACCACCTCGAGGAACGTGGCCGCGAGTGGGCCTGCGTTAAGCCCTTGTCCTGTCCCAGCGCACGTTTTCATCAAGGTGCACCCTTCGAGGAAGAGTGGGGTTATCGTATCGCACAGCTTCAGCAGCTTCCTGAACCTCCTCTCTAACACATCCTTGCTAAACCGCCTGCTCCTCTGCCTCCACTCCCCTATCCTCCTCCTCCTCAGCCTCCTCCTTCCTCTACCTCCTTCTCCTCCTCCTCCTCCTGATCATCATAATCATCCTCCTCCTGATCAACATCATCTTCATAATCCGCAGCATCATCATCATAATCATAATCATCATCCTCATCATCACCCATCATCAGCATCATCAGCAGCATCAACACCAGCATCAGCATCACCACCATCATCATCAGTATCATCATCAGCATCATCACAATCATCATCCTAATAAGCATCCTCACCATAATAATCATCACAGGAGGCATCAGCATCATCGTCATTATGATCAGAATAAGCAGCAGCAGCAGCAGCATCATCAGCAGCAGCATCATCATCATCATCGCCATCAGCATCGTCATCATCATCACCATCAGCATCATCGACAGTATCACCATCCTCATCACCCTCATCATCATCATCATCATCATCATCATCATCATCATCATCATCATCATCATCACCAACACCAACACCATCACCATCATCACCATCACCATCACCATCATCACCATCATCCCTCCTCCTCCTCCTCCTCCTCCTCCTCCTCCTCTTCCTCCTCCTCCTCATGATCCCCATCCCCCTCTCCAGCTCGTCTTCGCACTTCTCCTCCTTCCCCTCCTCCGTCGACCACGACCACTCCCGCGGCCACGGCCGCCACCACGACCACAATGACCACGACCACGGCGACCGAGACCACCGCAATGATCACGACCACGACCACGACGGCGGCGGCCCCCGCGCCTGCCAGATCGGCCACGCGGTCCTCACCGTCGCCTGCCCCACGCGCGCCGGATCCGGCTGGGCCTCGGAGGACCCGCGAACGCGCGGCACGCGCGCGAGGGAGCAAGCCGCTCCGGTGTGCCCGCGCCTTGCCGACTCCATGCCCCGAAGCGTCCAGCGGCGCGGCCACGAAGAAGAGATTTAGAACCGTTGTCCCTGAACGGGCGGGCGAAGGAGCAACAGGAGGAGGAGGAGGAGGAGGAGGAGGAAGAGGGAGGGAGAGAAAGAGGAGACCGCGGCCATTATGGCTCAAGTCTGAACCCCTTGTCGCGGGGGCTCGAGCTTGGAGGTTTCCGCCGCCATGCGACAAACTTCGGGGGGGCGCCCGACGCAACCGTTCTTGCCGAAACCCCGAATTTGGCGAATCCGCTCCTTCACCCCAGTGTGCGATGGACCAGTTAAGTGCTCAGAGACGCGGCGCGCAGAAAGGTCTCATCTGCTCGAACTGAGGCTGCAAGAGTAATCTCGCTCACTTCAGGTTATGCTACCATTGCAAGGGCCCGTTTCCTCGTATTGCTCATGCTGCTCCGTCTTCAAGGTTCTGGCCAAGGGCTCCCTGGAACAACTTCGGTGGAGGAGGTGGAGGCGGCAATGGTCGAGGAGGCAAAATCGGAGGCAAAGGTGGTGGCGGAAAAGGACTCAGAGGTGGCGTGAGGGATGGATCCAACGGTGAAGGGGCCAAGAAAGCTCCAGGGGCCCTCGACGAGCTCCACAGGATCCATCCAATGTTCACCGCTGGGAAGTTCAAGGATACCCTCCCCGATCCGCCAAATTATCCATATGCAAATCTTGGGAGGATGCCCATGCCGAACACAAAGCTGCTGCGCGTCTCGGTCGAATCGCTCTGCATGCTTAACAAGAGGAGGCCAGGAGGCCAACAAATACTGAACAACTCGAAACCGAGCGTGTCCAATCTTGTCTACAGTTGCAGGCTCGGTTGCAAAATAAGGAGAACCTTGCCGAGGATACCGCTAAGGAGAAAACTATCATTGAGGAGGCCCGTGTCGCAGTTGCCGCGAGCGTGCTTGCTTCCAAGCTCCTAGATGCCAGCAATCTTCAATCGCAGCTACGGTGGTAGTGTTGGTTAAGGAATGTGCCCAGGAGGCTTCAGACCCTGGTGGATTCCTTATCTCACGAGGGCGACGATGATATCCATGGCCTCTCCACGAGTGGAGCCCCACTTGTTTACAGACCTTGGACTCCTTATTCAATGGTTCCTTATCCAATGCCCTCGCCGTATCTGATTTCAAAATGTTGTTGGGCCGGGCTCAAGCATCTGGGGCGCGCACCAGTTTGGAATCTAAGTGCTCAGAGCTGCTTCAGGCTTTCGAGACGATTAGGTTAATTTCTACGCCTTCGCCTACGCCAGGTCCCCCCGCAGGAAGGGTTTCACCAAGCGATGGGCTCGGAGGCCTCAACATCCCTGTCGACCTGGACGCGATTCTCGATGGCTTGAACGTCAACATCTCGGACGCAGTCGGACGCTGGAGGGCATCGCCAAAGTCAGCAAGTGGCGTCGATGCCGTTCCTCTCGTGCTGGCAGGAAAGTGTTCGGAAGCGAATTCGTCCACCCGAGCCCAGAGTGGGGTATGTAACAGTGGAGGCTCACGTTCTACAGTAGACGGTGGCGTCGCCGACACATGTGTCTTGGGCACCCGTCTCGGCAAGGCGGTCCTCTTCCCAAGGGTGGAGTTCATGGCCAGCCCCCTCAGGGGACACCACCTCGCCGCGCGGGTTGCAGCTTCTCGCCTCTCGCAATGACTCGGCCACCGCTGGGCACCCGGTCGCCCCAGGAGGCTTCTCTCGGCGGCTGCGGTGCTTGAGCGGAGCAGCTTCAGCTCCGCCCTTCGTCAGAGCGGAGCGTGCCGTGCCAGGCCTTCCTGCGAAGATGGCGCAGAGCGGGCCAGGGTTCACTCACTCAGGTGTAGCGGCTAGAGAGAGGCTGCCGCCTCATCGTGAATTGCTTCCACATGGTTCTGGCCCGCTCCTCGGGGAACCAAGGATTGCGGCTGCGACTTCGCCTCGCAGTGCAGGCTGCAGGTCGTTGCGTGGTTCCTCTGGTCCTATTTCCCTTGAGGTCGGAGGTCCCTGCCCGCTCCTCGGGGGTCTCCGCTCTGGTGCTATTACTTCGTCGCGCAGCGCGAGTGGCAGCTCAGCGTGTAATGCATCCATTCCCCCGATTTCTGGCTTGGTACAAGCAGGTCATGTGGCCCTGCTGACATACCTCATTGCACCCTCAAGCTTGGTGGTTCTGCTCCGAATGGAGTGTCTGGCCCTTTTCTCGGGGGACTCCCTTCGCCGGTTGCTACTTCACTGCGCGGTGCGAGTTGCAGCTTGCCGAACATGTCTTTTGAGGATTGCTGCCTTGGTGCTCAAAGCAGGCTCTGCAGCACGAGCAGCTCGAGGCAATGGCTCGCTCACCGGGGCGCCTCTCCCACATCCAGTGTGAACGCGCGTGTGCCCCGAATCCGCCACCGTGCCCCTGGGGCACGGAGTGGGCGTGTCCTCTCGACCCCTTTGCCTAATGCGGAATGACGATTAATAAAAAAATAGGGGAGAACGAATAAACAAATAATTTTCTGCTATTTCTACATAATTTCCTGACTGGAGGAGAACGATTTAAAAACAAATAATTTTCCAGCCTGCGGCCGATTTTTTCTAATCGTCATCCTGGGCGCCGCCGCGTGAACACGTCCCCCGGTCATTTATTAATCGTCATCCTCCATTACTCCTCTGAGCCCCACTCCTCGCTCCGGAAGATTCCGTAAAGGGGCCCGGATCCCTCGCTCTCAAGTCTCCCGGGGCTCGGCGCACGCCCCACGGGGGCTTCCCGCGTGCCCCCCCGGGGCTCCGGGAGCTGTCGTCGCACGATCTCCTGCGGGCCCGACGAGGGCGCGGCCCCAGGACGTGCAGAGTGGGCCCCAAGAGGCCCCCCAGACGGTCCAAGAGGGCCCCGAATCGCCGAACGATCGCTCCAAGACGCTCAAGATGGCCCCCTGACGGCCCAAGAGGCCTCCAAGAAGCCCAAAGAGGCCTCCAAGAGGCCTCCCAAGAGGGCCCAAAGAGGCCAAAACCAGTGATTCGCCTCTTCGGTTCCCCGACGCTCCCAGAGGGCCCTACAGGCCCCCGAGGCCGCCCCAAGACTGCCTAAGACGCCTCCAAGAGTACCCCAAAACAGCCCAGGAGGGCCCCAAGATGGCCCAAGAGGCGCCCAACCGCCCAAGAGGGCCCCAAGACGGCCCCAAACGAGGGAACACAAAGCGAGAATCCGAGCCTTCCCCCCCAAGAGGCTCCCAGGAGGCCTCAGGAGGAGCCCAGGGCCACAAGACGCCCCCAAGAGGCCCCTAAGAAGCCCCAAACAGGCCCCATAAGGCCCTCTAAAACCCTCAAGAGGCATCCAAACTGCCTCCAAGAGGCTCTGAGAGGCCTCCCACGAAATCGCAACGAACATCCAATAGGCTTCATACCCACAACCCAGGCACGGCGGCGGGATGGGCCGAAGGCCATTCGACCTGGCCCGGCACAGAAACGGAAAGAGCGCGTCAGAAACAGAAACCGAAATTACTCACACCACCGTTCGTACTGGGAGCCTTTGCGTTGAGAGCTTGTTACGTCACCCCTCGCTCGTGGGAGCCTTGGTGTTCAGAGATTGTTGCGTTGCCGCCCGTTCCTGAGCCTTGGCTGGGCCTTGGTGTCAGGAACTTGTTACGTCATCGCTCCCTGCTGGGAGCCTTGGTCTTATCAGCTTGTTTACGTCACCGTTCGCTCTTGGGAGTCTTGGTGTGAAAAGCTTTTGGCGTTACCGATCGCTCTTTATTTGGCGTCTCTGGGCCTTCTTGGGAGTTCTACTGCGGCCCTTTTCGGGCCCTTTTGGAGGCCTCTTGGAAGCATCTTGGGGGCATCTTGGGACTTCTTGGGGGCTCTGGGGGCCTGCTGGGAGCTTCTTGGGGCGAAATGCTAGATTTTTCGGTTCGTGGTCCCCCTCTTGGGGCCGTCTTGGGGCCCTCTTGGGCCGTCTTGGGCGCCTCTTGGACCGTCTTGGGCCGTTTTGGGGGCCTCTTGGGAGCCTCTTGGGCCGTCTTGGGGCGGTCTTGGGGGCCTCTTCGACCGTCTTCAACGCCGTGAAAACCGAAAAGCCCTATATGCCAAAAACGTATCATTTCCCCGTCGGAAATCAATGATTTGGGTCTCCTGGTGGCCTCTTGGGACGCTTCTTGGGGGCCTCTTGGGGCTTCTTGGGGGGGCTCTTGGGGCCTCCTGGGAGCGTCTTGCCCCTCTTGGGGCCGTCTTGGGGCCCTCTTGGGCCGTCTTGGGCGCCTCTTGGACCGTCTTGGGGCCCTCTTGGGCCGTTTTGGGGGCCTCTTGGGAGCCTCTTGGGCCGTCTTGGGGCGGTCTTGGGGGCCTCTTGGGCCGTCGTCAGCGCCGTGACAGCAGAACAGCCGTATATGCTAAAAATATACGTGCTCCTCTTGGATATCCATGATTTTGGCCTCTCGGGGCCCTCTTGGGACGCCCTTTGGGCGCCTCTTGGGGGCCTCTTGGGGGCCTCTTGGGCCGTCTTGGGCTCTCTTGGAGCGCTCTCGGGCCGTCTTGGGGGGAACCCGAAAAACATGCAAAAACCAAAGGGAAACACCGAAAACGGCTATTAAACCTGGGCCGGCACGGAAACGGAAAGAGCGCTTCAACAACGTGACCGAAATTACTCACACCACCGTTCGTACTGGGAGCCTTGGCGTTGAGAGCTTGTTACGTCACCCTGCGCTCTTGGGAGCCTTGGTGTTCAGAGATTGTTGCGTTGCCGCCCGTTCCTGAGCCTTGGCTGGGCCTTGGTGTCAGGAACTTGTTACGTCATCGCTCCCTGCTGGGAGCCTTGGTCTTATCAGCTTGTTTACGTCAACGTTCGCTCTTGGGAGCCTTGGTGTGAAGAGCATTTTGCATTACCGATCACTCTTTATTTGGCTTCTCTGAGCCTTCTTGGGAGTCCTATTGCGGTCCTTTTTGAACCCCTTTGGGGGCCTCTTGGGGCTTCTTGGGGGTCTGTGGAGGCCTCCTGGGAGCGTCTTGGGGCGAAATGCTAGACTTTCGGGTTCGTGGTCCCCCTTCTGGGGCCCTCTTGGGGCGTCTTGGGCGCCTCCTGGGCCGTCTTGGCGCCCTCTTGGGCAGTTTTTGGGGCCTCTTGGGAGCCTCTTGGGCCGTCTTGGGGCGGTCTCAGGGGCCTCTTGGACCGTCTTCAACGCCGTGGAAGCCGAAAAGCCGTATATGCTAAAATGTACGTTTTGCTAAAGGAAATCAATGATTTTGGCCTCCTGGTGGCCTCGTCGAACGCCTCTTGGGGGCCTCTTGGGGCTTCTTTGGGGGCTGTGGGGGCCTCCCAGGAGCGTCTTGGGGCGATAGGTTAGACTTTTCAGTTCGTGGTCCCCCTCTTGGGGCCGTCTTGGGGCCCTCTTGGGCCGTCTTGGGCGCCTCTTGGACCGTCTTGGGGCCCTCTTGGGCCGTTTTGGGGGCCTCTTGGGAGCCTCTTGGGCCGTCTTGGGGCGGTTTCAGGGGCCTCTTGGGCCGTCTTCAGCGCAGTGAAAGTCGAAAAGCCGTAGATGCTAAAAGTGTACCTTTGCGTCGGGAACATCGATGGTTTTGGCATCTTGGGGCCCTCGTGGGGCGCCCCTTGGGCACCTCTTGGGGGCCTCTTGGGCCGTCTTGGGCTCTCTTGGAGCGCTCTTCGGCCGTCTGGAGGGAGAATCCGAAAAACATACCAAAACCCTAGGGGAAAAACACAACATAGGACCATTAGACCCCGCCTGCGCGCCTCGCCCCTCCCCTGGACCCCTCCCTTAAGGGCTTCGCCCCCTGCTCAACGTCACTCGCTCGTACCTCGCTCTTTCCGTCGCCCATCCACTCCCCGTACGTTCCCCCCTGGACCCCCCCCCCCCCCCCTAGGGGCTCCGCCCAAAACACAACGTCATCGCTCGTACATCGCTCTTTCCGTTACCTGCTTGGCACGGGGACGGAAAGCGCATTTACTTTCAGAGCGCGAGATGTCGCTGGCTTGCCCGTTCTTTCTCTCTGTCTCCCCGTCTGGAGATTATCTTGGGGCATCGTTGTGGCATATTGGGCGCCCTCTAGGGCTATCTCGAAGCTGCAGGAGGCCTCTTGAGGGGGAACCAGGGCGTGTTGGTATCTTGGGAAGGCACCAGTGCGCGATAGAACACGAATGAAGATTATGGTCATACTGATGATGATGCTGCTGTTGCTGCTGATGATGATGATGACGACGACGATATACTCTCTTAGAAGCATCTTGGGCGTCTCCTAGGCCCTCCTTGGGTCGGCACAGACTCTCCATGGGAAAGATCTGGAAGGGGAAACGGCTGGATAAATCTCAATGTATGGAGGCCCAAGGCTTGGAATGAAATCTTGCAACTGACTCAGGCCCGAGATAATCGAGGGCTTCCAGCAGGCGTGCCTTTAGACCGTAAGAATGTTAACGCCAAGACCCATGTGGCCACTAAGTGCTACCAACATGCATTCCCAGGGCGTCAGGGCGTGTTTTGCTCTGGGTATACAATCGCCATCACGAGTTGCGGCATCTGTTTCAGCGACCTGGCTCGCATGCACAGCTGCAGTCTCACCGTTTGCACCAGTGGCAGAAGCTACGGAAAAGAGTATAAGTTCGGAAACATGGGAAGAACAGATGAGACTTCTGACATCCGTTCCTTGCGGATGTTGCCACCAGGCTGCTTCGACTTAAGCTTGGCGGGTGCCCTCATGCACTCATAGATGTGGTTGAAGTGTTGTCTAGCATGCGGGAGAAAGTTGGACAACTGGAGGTGAGGAAGGAGTCAAAAGAAAGCTTGGGAGGATTGGCGCTCGAATCTTGTAAGCAACAATTGCGAGCAGGCGTGTCCTGTTAGAGTAATGGCGCACCTCTATTGAAGGAGGGCGTCGACATCAACTGCGCTTTTGCTGGAACGCTGCCCCACAGGCTGTTTGCAGAAAGGCGTGCATGAAACAGGTGCGTGGCAGGCTCCGGGGCAAGCTCAGCCTTTGGGGAATCTCCACATGCCGGCGCACCTCCCCGTCCCCCCCGCTGTGCCAGGCCTCGTTCCCGGGAAGATCAGCAGCCGACTCAGAGCTGGCACCTGCGTCCCTGAATAGCTTTCACCCGAGCACGCCTCAGTTACCAGGCGCAGGAGTAGATAACTGATCCTTGCAATGCCGCCACAACTACCGGGTGGGTTAAGCCCCCACTGATATGCAGAACTTGGTTGTGCTCCTGATGCCCAAGCCAGAAACAGTAAGCGCCCCATTGGCCACTACGATGGCTTCGCGAGGCTGCATGGTCAGACCCATCGGAACCCATGTAGGCCTTGGCGGCAAGACTGAGGTATGGGCCTTGATGCTTCCATGAACTTAGGGCGGAGTGCTGTGGATATGGTTTGGAGGGAGAGTGTTTCGGCGGCGCTAAGTTCGGGGCTACAGATGCAGCATGCTACCATTCTTTGGGACTTTCTGAAGCTCTACGAAGCAATGGGTATCTGTATACAAGGGTACTCGGATGTATTCTCCCTGGCTGCATTGCCCCATCGGGCAGGAGGTTCAAGCTGAACCGTCGCACTCGAGGAAGGACATGGCGCGTGGACGAAACCAAGGGGTTTCTGGTCAGCTGTCCAGCGATGTTGTAGTTTTGCTCCAAAATTGCCCTGCCCTCGAATGACACACCATGGTGGTGCACTAGGCCTCTGGCCTCAACAACGGGTCTAGATGTCTCTGAGCCATATCACTTCAAGCTCCTCTTCCTCCTACTCTCCTCCCCCTCCTGAGGTCCAGGAGGTGGAGGAAGAGATGTTGCAACATGTCGTAGGTCGCAGGCTCCAGTGACGTTCTGGCCCAAACCTCGCACCCATGCCCAAGCGCAGGGGCAGGACTTTGAAACAAAAACGAGGGGTGCTCAAGAGCAAAGCGAACAAAACATACAACGACGCGCGGAACAAGATGCCCAAGCTCGCTCGGAAAGAGGCCTATCGGAAAGAGTTCTTCCCCGAGTACTAAAGGGTCTACCAGGCAGAACTTCGGGCGAAAGCTCTCTGGCGTCAAGAAACAGCCATACCGAAACACCCAGACACAAGACGCTGAGAACCCACCCCCCAAGCGCAAACACGGGAAAGTATGCATCAGCAAATTGTCCGCGCCTCCCCCCCCCCCAGGCGCGGGACCGGGACCTCAAAAACAAGGGCCTCGCCAGCGCCAGCGAAGGCCCTGCGCAGATCCGAGGCGCCCAGGCACAGGGGGGCCGCGAAGATTCGAGAGGCTTGTGGGGGGACTCGTCTGGGGCCCGATGGCGGGGGCTGCGGCGCGCGCGTGGCTCGGGAGCATGCAGGGCGCGAGGTCACGCGCAGTCGCCGCGTAGAACCACGCGGTGCCGCTTCCGACGCACGCGGGGCGCTGTAGAGCACGCCCAACTGCTGCAGAGATGACGACGCAGAGCACGTCCCACCGCATGCTCACATTGCCGCGGGGCGTGACCCCCTTGCGTGAAAATCAGCACTCTGATCTGCAGGGCGGGCCCGGGAGGGCATGGAGAGAACGAGGACGAGCAAGAAGACGAATGAGGAGACGAGAAGGAGGGGGAGGAGGAAGAGGAGGAGGAGGAGGAGAAGGGGCATGACGGGGAGGGGAGGAGGAAGGGAAGAACACCGAGCAAGGAGGAGGGCCGAACGCCCGCCATACTCATCCGGTCTGGCGCCGGAGGAGGAGGAGGAGGAGGACAAGTGTAAACCCAAGAGTCATCAACGATGTTGGAATACACCTTCCCTCCAAACTCCCACTTCATTGGCCCTACAACGGTTCATTGCCACTGAGGGAGTGGCCTCGTTGGAAGACAACCGTTTGAAGACCCTGCAGCATGCCAAAACTGTTCTCGGGATGCCAACGCCACGATCGTGAATCCTGCCTAAACGCAATTCCTGGGATTTCAACACCGCGAAACAAGGTAACAATAGCACCCTCATAATCCCGAATCTTTCCAAAACGCCATTTCTGGTACGCTGAGCATGGGAATCCGTGAAACCCTTGCTGTTTGCTTAACGAATCTGCGCGGCGCCAAAGCGAGAGCCACATTTTGAACATGAGCCGCCCTCAATCCGTGAAACTCTTGCAGATGTTCAAAAACGAGTGAGCGCGGCGCTAAAGCGAGAACCTCATTGTGAAAACCACCCGCCCTCAATATGTGAAACTTCTGCAATTGTTTAAAGCGAATGTGCGCGGCACTAAGACAATTACCACATTTGGAAAGAAATCTTGCCAATTCTTAACCTAATGTGCGCGGCGCTCAAGGCGAGAACCACATGTTGAAAACGACCAGCCCCGAATCCGTGGAACAGTTGCAGATTTTTCAAGCGAGCGCACGCAGCGCTATGGCGAGAGCCACATTTTGAAAACGACCCGGTGAGGAAGTCTTAGGCGAAACGCCCGGCCCGCCCTAAAGATTGGCCCCGGGGTGCGACAGGGAGACGTTATTCATAAGGAACAGGAATGGAATGGAGGAGCAGCAGGGGCCATCCACAGGAGGGCGAGCAGGGAGCATGAGAGGCCACTCTTCCCCCTACTCCGCATTCTCCCAGGTTCCACTGCATGCTGCTTGTTGTACCTCCCGGTCCTCCTCTCCTTGAGGGAAGGCGGGAAACCGCGCGAGCAGCCGCGCAGCAAAAGTAGCAACATCATTAGCCATAGCAGCAGCAGTTGCAATTCCCCGTCGAGTTGGCATTCAAGAGCCGGTCGAGCCCTCGACGCCAGTGGACGCTCGCGGTCCACATGAGGCATCCCTCCAGGGGCCGGCTGGGACCTCCAGATGGGAAAAGGGCGAAGACCCCTGGAGACCACGCGGGAAGTGTCCCTCACCACGGCCGGCTTGTCCTCGACATCACATTCGGAATGCGCTCGGCGACAGGTCCGTCTCGACTCTGAGGCCCAGGGCCCAGACCTCAGGCGTCGCGAGAGAACGGCGACGGGCGTTGCTTTTTGGAAGAGGGTCTCTGGAACCGTTTCGGGGCCCAGTGCAATCAAAAACTACCCAGAGGCGAGATCCCCAGGAGGTGCATCGCGAGAGTAGCACGACGTCAGAGGTCTGAGGGGGGCTACATGCTCAGGTCGCATGGGGTCTGTATGGAAGGGTCCGCCCCTTGAAGACCAGAAGTCCCGCACCTCCCAACAAGAAAGAGGCCTTCACAGAAGACTGGGCCATGCCCACTGTTGCGCGCCGCCATATCCCCACACGCCACCCTGGTTTGCCGAGAGTCCCCGCGCAACACCGCCGCCTCTTTTGGGAGAGCGCAATATACACACTGGCACCATCACAGGCAGAATGACATGACATGCGGCTTACAATGAGATATATTTGACGACCATCTCTAGGAGAAACAGAAGCCATCGACAACTTAATAATCAGGGCCCAACAACGAAAGATCCATCGGCTGAGAGTATTGGTGTCGGGATCCGGAGCTAGGGCAGAGGAGATATAAACGACAATCGACAAGTTCATGGGGTCTCTGGACTCTTGTATGTGCCTCTGCAAACTATGAGGCCAATGCTTCTAACGGATGGGGATATGGCCCACATTGACGCCATGGCGCAATTGAAATCACAGACATAACGCTATCGGAGACGAACGAATCAGGCCTACCAGAGACGAAGGATAACGCATCTACGCAAGCCAGCTCGGTCACGCGCAAGCCGAAGCCAACCAACAGAAGACTGACATTGCCGTCGCCAACCAACACCTGACATAATGTGTCATTGTTGGATCCGGCTTGGATCCTGAAACCACTGGCACGTCAACCAACGACGACTTGAGTTGGCGTAGCAAGGGTTTGACATCATAGAACACTGTGGGCCCAAATCCTGTGATACCACAGATTTGACGTACGCTCAACATCGAGCAAATTATCACGTACGGAATCCACCTCCTGGAACGACGCTGAGTGCCGCGCCAACAGCAGAAAGGCGTCGTGCAGGAGCAAGTACCTGCCACGGTGGTGAAGAATAGCGGTGACGTGGCGGGGACAGAAACTGCAGGAACCCGAGGGGAGGGCATTGCTCGAACCAGGTGTGGCAGCGCCAACTAGGCCCGTCCACGTTGTCCACGGTACCGCTGGCAACGCTTCGACGACACGTGGCTGGGCACCGTAGACCCAGATTCGCTGACGACGAAGGGCGCCACAGTTTTCCCCGGCCAAGAGCATGACGTCCAACGACACCTGCTTGCCGTGGATGAAAGGCGTGTGAGACAATTGGCTGGGCAGGCCACCCTCGTCAGAGGCCCTCCCCTCGGGGGGGGGCACGACCTTCTAAGCGCACTTCCTGGGCCCTCAGAGCCTCCCAGTCCACGTCAGGATCCCTGGACGCTTCAATGTTCACGGTTCCCTCCAAGACGCCCCAGGAGAGCTCAAGCCAGCCCAAGAGGTCCCAAAGAAGAACTCAAGCAGCCTGAGAAACCCCAGGAAGGGTCACAGAGGTCCCAGACCAAACATCCAACATCATTTCAAGCACATGTTTCGTGATTTACACTATTTCGCCTGATCGCCCCCGGACGCCTCGGAAGGAGTCAGGAGGCATCCAAGAGGTCACAAGATTTCCAAAGATGCCCCCAAGACTGTTTCAAACTGCCCGTGATTGCTTCAGCACGCCCCCAAGATCGCCCCAAGATGGCCAAGGCTGACCGTCGCGGGCAGGGCGAGTCGAGCCACATACCGTCAGAAAGCTGCGAAGAGACACACGCACACACAATCGCTGATTGGGAGTGCTGTGGACTAGACTCCCTGGTTCCATTTCGGTTTCGGACACCCGCGATTCTGAGCTGTTCGTGGGCAAACGGAAAACGGAGAGAGAGAGAGAGAGAGAGAGGCAGAGGCAGAGAGAAGAGAAAGAGAGAGGGAGAGAGAGAACAACAAACAAAGAGGCTTATTCTCCGTGTCCTTTAAAGCTCCCCATTGTCCTCCTACTCTTACTCCTTTTCGGGCTCGCAAAGCGTGGGAGGCTTAGCATTTCCTTGAAACCACCTGGTGTGTGCTGGGGGTGGGGGCGCTGTCCGTTTCGGGCTCGCAAGGCGTGGCAGGCTTTGCGAGCCCGAAACGGATACAGCCCCCACAACCAGCGCACCCTCTGTGGCATCAAGGATGGCACGCATGTCGACCCCATCATGTGGGTGCCCAATATGTGGTGCATGCGTCTTGGGTGTATGATGGAGCGAACACGCCAAGTCTGCACAGGCGTTGTATGGTAAGCGCGTTGGGGTGGGATCGCCAGAGGAGGAAGAAATGTGTGCGGGCTGTATGTTGACGCGTGTCGTATGTGGGTACCGTGTAAAGCTGTGTTTTGTGTGATGTGTGTGCGGCTGCATGTGACCGTGCCTCTCATGTCAATGCCGCGTATATGTCCTGTGCAGATGTGTTGGTGTGTGATGTGTGCACGTGTGCTGCGTGCACGGCTGCATGTGGCCGAGTGTCGCATGTCAATGCCGCGCATGTGTTGCATGCGTCTGGTAGGAGACGCGGGTGCGACGCGGCAGGGTGCAAGAAGGAGGAGAAGGAGGAGGAAGAAACGGGAGAAGGTGAGGAGGAGAGGGTGTGTGAGAAATGCGGATGCGACGCGGGAGAGAAGAAAACCATCATCTCACGAAGAATGTGGGAACCAGAACCCCACTAAGCATGTGGGGAAAAAAACATAGCCCCACCACTAAGCATGTGGGGAAGAAGAATGAGGGAGGAGGAGGGTTGAAACGCGGGTGCGACGCGGGTGGGACGAACACTAGAACCCCACAAAGCAGGTGGGGAACGAAAACGCCCCGACATCACCCAGTAGTACCCTCCTCTCCGTCTCCGTCCGACCCGAGACAGCGACTCCGACGCCGACGGCGTGCAGGGTGCCGAGCGTGCCGAGCCCCGCCGAGAGCGCGGCCGGCGGCGGGGCGGCACCGCGTGCGCTTGCCCGCCGCCGAGGCGACTCCGCAGACGAGGCCTGGCTGGCCGCCACCGTCGTCGTCGCCGTCGCCGTCGCTTCTACCCCGTCGACGCCGCCGTCGTCGTTAGGCGTCGTTGTCGCCAGGCGCCGTCGCTGTTCAGCGTCACCGTCGCCGTCGTCGAGCGGCGTCGTCGTCGGGGCGTTGTTGCCGTCAGGAGCCGCCAGCAAGCGTCAAGGTCGCAGGCGGGCTTAGCGGCAACACCCACCAAAAGACAACGGACAATTTTGGTCTAACTTCTTGGCCTCCAGGAGTCGTGCGCTGGTCCCAGGACCATCAGAGCACGACCTGCCACAAGAAGACAATCACGGGGATGAGGCCGAGAGCTCCCGGAGGGCGGAGCGCCAGAGAGGAAGGCGGTCTTGACGGCGAACCCAATCGCCAAGCTCGGGAGCCCCTGCTGCCACCCGCTGGGGCCACTGCCAGCGAGAGCGGCCCCCCGTCGTCGCCGCCGCTGTCGTCGCCGTCGCCGACGCCGTCGGCGCTGCCGCACAAGTCGCTGCCGCTGCCGCCGCCACCGCCGCCGTTGCAGCCGTTGCCTCCTCTGTGGGGCCCGCTCGGCACTCGCTCGCCGCCGCTGAGGACCGCCGGCAAGCCACGAGAACGGCCTGCTGCCGCCCGGCGGGCTCCCTCGGGCGGGAGCGGCCCAGCCTCGCCGCCGTCACCGTAGCCGCCACCATCGCCGCCGTCATGGTCGTCGTCGTCGTCGCCGTCACTGCCGCTCACCGCAACGGCCATCGCCGCCGCCGTGGTCACCGCCGCTAGCCACCGCCGCCGCCGTCACCGCAGTCGTCGTCGTCGTCGTCGTCGTCGTCGTCGTCGTCGTCGTCGTCGCCATCGCCGCCGCCGCCGCCGCCGCCGGCCGCCGCTGCCGCTGCCGTCGCCGTCGCCGTCGCCATCGCCGTCGCCGTCGCCGTCGGCGTCGTCGTCGTCGTCGCCGTCGTCGTCGCCGTCCGCCGCCGCCGCGGCCGAGGTCGCTATGGCCCATGCGCGCCCGGGCGCGCGCGGCTTCTGTTTTTCCCGCTCGCCCAGCGGCGACCGGCTCCGCTGCTCCCGGGCTCCGCCCCGCGCGCGGGCGGCGCTGGGGGCCCGCGGTGCCGGAGCGGCGGGCGCGGCGCTGCGGTGCCGGCAGTGCACGTCGTACCTTCCCAGAGGTCCGCTTCTGAGTCCATGCGGCGTCTCGGCCGCCGAACGGACTCAATTCGACCGCCGAACGGGCGGGATTCCCACCAGCATCTTGGATTTGAGTCCGTGCGGCTGCAAGTTCGGCGGCCGACTGGGCTCACATGCCGAATGGGCTCAGAAGAGAACCCTGGGGTCGGGGCGGGAAGGAAGAAAGAATGCGACGGTCGCGGGCGGTGTCGGGAAGATGTCAAGAGTCCTAGCGCACGTCATGCCCCTGCGGCGGGGTACGGTCGGGGACTTTGCTTACCGTGTCGCGGCGGCGGCCCTGGGACTCGCTGCCCTGCGAGCGGATGGCATGTCGCTCCGCGTCGCGGGGTGGGAGGCGGAAGGCTAGGAAAAGAGCACGGGACGTTGACGTTCGGAGACAGGGACCGTGGTTAGTGTGTCGCGACGTATCGTGGTGGGCCAGAATTGGCGGAGCGACACGCTAAGCACACGTTCCTGTGGCTGTGCCTGGTGATGCCTCAGGACGCTCAACGCCCTGAGGGCGCCCGCTCAGCGGGGCGGAGCTCAAGGAATTGCGAGCAGGAAACGACACGTTACCAAGGCACTACGATAGCTTCGAATCTGAATCGCCGTCGCAATCTGTGCGAGCCGTTAAAGCCTTGCTTTGACAGAACACTCCGCCTCCAGAAGCCCGGCAAGCACAGCAGTGCTTGAGGCGGCCAGGATCTTCGGAAGGAGTTGGCCGTACCATGAAGCTGGAAGGTGATTGCAATACGCTGGATCCCGGCCCGCCGCCCAAGTCACCGTCGGCTCAAATAGGACTAGTGCCACGCGCGCGTTTCATGCACGCGTAGGTTCTAGAAATCCCCAGTCATTGCCAGGCTCGCAGCTGCACTGTAAAAACGTATCTACACTGCTTGTTGAGCATTTATTGAACCTTGGGGGGCCCGCCAACCTGGCAAGGAACTTGCAGTAGACGTTGCCCTCACCAGACTGCTAATCTTTCGTGTGCCACACCATGGTGTACTGACTCGGAAAACAATTACCGATCCCCACTCCGCTTATCCCCAGCACTCGAAATAATCAACCCGTTATGGAGGGGGGGGTGACCGCCGAGCGATACCGTTAGCACCCAGAGTGATTGGTCACACAATTCATCGGGGGGGGCGCTCTGCTGTGCACTGCTGCGAGGTGTGCTGTGTGCCACGCCGCGTCGAGCGGGCCCGGCGCTTCGCCCGAGGCTTCGCCACGACGCCCGCCGCCGCCATGTGGCCACCGCCCCCCCGGCCTCCGATGGGCCTCCAGTGGCCTCCTGGCGAGGCAGACGGCGGCCAGCGGCAAGCGGGACGGCGGACGCCTTCCGGCTGCTCCCGGCGCCGCCTGAGACCTCCTGGGGCAGCACGGGGCCTCCTTCTCGAAAGAGAGCGACGAGACAGGAGCGCGAAGGGGGGATGGTCAGGAGGGACGTAGGCGGGGTTAGACAGCAACCCAAGGAATGCTGTGGTCGTTCCCATGGCGCCCAATTGTGCGCCCAATCGCGTGGGACCCCAGGGGTGACTCCTGCGGCTCGCCAACGGGGAGATCCTGGAGCCCTCTGGGGCTTCCGAGTGTTACCTGGAGAAGCTGTTCCCGAAGGCCGTGGGCCCTGCCCGGCAAGACCTGATGCATCTGAGAGGACTCCCCGGGACCCCCCCCCAATTCACCCAGAGCCCCTGACGCATCCAACATAATAAACCCTGAAGCTTCCTCCGCCACACCCCTACCCTTCCCAACACACATCTGCCCGGATGCATCTCCCAACGACTCGGATGCTCTCAGCTTGGTAATCACCCCGCCTCAGCCGCATTTCACCCTACTCTTCCTCATTCCTCTCCATGTTCCTCCTCCTCCTTTTCCTGCTCCACCTCCCCCTCCTTCCCCCAATCTACCAATTCCTTCTCCTCCCCCTCCTACCCCTCCTTCGCCTCCGCCTCCTGCTCCTCCTCTTCCTCCTCCATCGGGGTGTACTTGCATGCATCCTGGTCGCCCATTTGATCGAAATCCTCCCCTCCTCCACCTCCTCCTTTTCCTCATCCTCATCCTCCTCTTCCTCCTCCTCCTCCTTCGACTCCGCCTCCGCCTCCGCCTCCGCCTCCGCCTCCTCCTGCTCCTCCCCCTCCTCCTCCTCCCCCTCCTCCTCCTCCTCCTCCTCCTCCTCGTCATCAGCATCATCATCATCATCATGATCATGATCATGCTCATGATCATCATCAGTATCAGCATCATCAGCATCAACATCATCAGCAACAGCGGCAGCATCAGCATCATCACCATCAGCATCACCATCATCATCATCATAATAAGAGTATATATCATCCTTATCCTCAGCCTGATCCTCATCCTCATCCCCAGCCTGGTCCGCATCCCCATCCTGATCCTCCTCCTCATCCTCCTCCTCCTCATCATCAACCGCATCCTCATCATCCTCATGCTCATCCTCATCATCCGCATGATCATGATCAGCATCATCACCATCATCATCAGCAGTATCAGCACCACCATCATCAGCCGCAACAGCATAATCATCAGCATCAGCATCAGCATCAGCATCATCATCATCATCATAAGCATCATCATCGTCGTCATTACCATCATCAGCGCAATCATCATACTCATCAGCATCAGCCCCACCATTAGCTTCATCATCGTCATCATGATCATCATCAGCATCACCATCACCATCATCGTCATCATCATCAACAGCAGCAACATCACTGCCATCATCTTCATCGACATCGTCATACTCATAATCCTCATCATCATCATCAACATCATCATCCTAAACATCAGTATCATCATTATCATCATCAGCAGCAGCAAAAGCATCCGTTTCATCATCAACATCCTTATCATTGTCATCATCATCAACATCATCATCATCGTCGTCGGTATCGTCGTCATCGTCATCGTCATCGTCATCGTCATCGTCATCGTCATCATCATCATCATCATAATGATCATTATCATCGTCATCATCATCAACACCATCATCGTCACCACAATCATCCGCATCATCAGCATCAACATCAACATCATCATCATCACCATCATCGCCGTCGATATCGTCGTCATCGTCATCGTCATCATTGACAACATCATCATCATCATCACCACAAGCATCACCATCATCAGCATCATCAACATCAGCATCATCATCATCATCACCATCACCATCATCATCATCATCATCATCATCATCATCATCATCACCATCCCTCTCTTCTCGGGCACCACTCCTCGTCGTCGCGGCTCTCCACAGGGAAGCACGCTCGCAGCGTGGCGAAGTCCCGGTCCTCGCCCGTTGGCAACGAAGGGGGGAGGGTGGAGCAGAGAAGGATAGGGAGGGCGAGGCGGGGATGAGCAGGAGGGCGAAGGCGGGGGAGGGAGGAGGGAGGATTCGGATTTCACAGCTGAGAAGGCTCAAGGACCTATCAGCACTGACGGCGCTGCAACTGGACGGGTCTGCAAGATGATTAGCGCACTGCCAACACGGACGCGGAGAGTGAGCATGCAGGCCGTGCTGCATCAGAAAGGCAACTCGAAGGGGCCCAGGCAACCGGTGAGGAAACTCGCCAAGAGAACTGCTGTCAGACGTCTCTGGCGCCTCCATCTGGAAGGAAGTCTCAGATGAGAGCCAGACTCTTGAAGGTACGTTGAACTAGGGAGCTCACTGAACATCGCGTTGGATGTTCGGAACGCCCCTCCCCCCCACACACCATGTTGGGCACCGTGTGCCACGACGAAGACCCACGTGACCGTGTGACCACCTGTTCCGTGGGCCTACGAGTTGGTGGCTCGGAAGTGGGAGGCGTTTGCGTCGTGGGAGGGGGCGTCTGAGGACACGTGTGGCCACCTTTTCCCTTGGCCTCTGTATCTGTGATCTGGAAGTGGAGGGCGCTTGTCGTGGGAAGCAGCGCTTGAGGACACGTGTGACCATCTTTTCCTTTGGCCTCCGAATTTGGGATTCGGAGGTGGGAGGCGCTTGCATCGTGGGAAGGGGCGTTTGCGTCGTCGTTCGTCGACAGGCGAGACGCGCCCCCCCACACCATGTTGGATATCCGACGCAAGATCTTCAACATCTCATGTATCCGAGGATGCCTCAGGCGAGATTCTCCCCACACCATGTTGGATATCCGACGCACTATCTCCAACGTCTCATTTGCCGATGGACGTCTCAATCGAAAGCACCACTCTTGAGAACCAACGTCGTGAAGCAACTCATCTGACAGCCGTAGTTCGTTAGGATGTCTCGGGCGAGACGCACCCGCCCCCCCCCCCCCCACCACACACACACACACGTTGTTGGACACCAGGCGCCCGATTTCCAACATGTCATTCCTAATCACCCTGTGGGCTTGGGTCCTCGTTCGAAAGGACAGCGTCTCACCTCCAGATGCCCCTTCTCCTTCCTCCCTCCTTCCGTACCTGCGTCTGCCATCCGCATGTCCATGTCGGCGCACCTCTCACACGCTTCGTGGCCCCATAGGGAGCTCCACTTAAGACCAAAGTGCATGCGTTCGCTTGCCTGGTCCACGCCATTCCGGCGCATCCCTCACACGCTTCGTGGCCCCATAGGGACCTCCACCTAAGGCCCCAGTGGCTGCTTTCCTCTCCACACTGTTCCGGCGCACCCCTCACGTGTTTCGTAGTGCCATACGGAGCTCCACCTGATGCGTAAGTGGCTGCGTTCTCATGCCTTCTCCACACCATTATGGCGCACCCCTCACACGCTCCGTGGCCCCATTTGGGAGCTCCACATAAAGCCCCAGTGGCTGCATTCGCATGCTTTCCCCACATCGTTACGGCGCACCCCTCACACGTCCACAGGGGGCTCCACCGAAGGCCCCAGTTCTAGGAATCGCATGCGTGACCGCGCCCACTTCGGCACACCCCATCGCACTGTTCGTGGCCGCATGAGGGAAGCTCCACCGAAGGCCGCGCCGCATGCTGCCCCCCCAGGCCGCGACGACTGACGCGCAGATCAGCCGTGACGGGTTGCATCCAGATGCAACCCGTTACGGACAACTTCTGCGCCTCTGTCCTTTTACTGGCCCCTTGCCCTAGTTCATCTGCCTTGCGGTACCCCCAGCTGCTCATGGTTGGATCCTACGCCAGGCTAACGTGCTTGAGAATGTCTCAGGCGGAAGCCTCACTTGGAAGAACCAGAGTGGCTTCAACAAGTCCGCCACCATTTCAATTTCGCGAGCATGACTCAAAGGACACACTCCACACACTATGTTCGATATCCGACGCTCGACGTTCACCATCTCATCGGACTGAGGATGTCTCAGGCGAAAGCTTCACGGTTGAGAACCAACGTCGTGAAACAACACCTCCAACACCCGCACTATGCAGGATGTCTCAGAATAAATGCCCCCACCATTGTGGATATCCGACGCACGACCTCGAACCTCACATGAATTATGAAGATATATTGGGCGAACACATCCCTCTCGATAACCAACGTCGCTCTAACAAATCATCTAACATTTCTTTGTTGTGAGGATGGCTCAGGCGAACAGCCCTTGCCGATACCATGTTGGATATCCGACGCCCGATGTCACGGATGCCTCGAACGGGTCATTTAGAGAACCAACGTCGCGCGCATCATCCCCAGGTGTGATGATATATCAAGCGAAACTCCTCCTCACCCAACTCGTCAACCCTCCATGTACGGCCAAATGCCTGACGGACTAGGAGAACCCTGGGCCTGACCCCTTACCCGGGAAAACAACGAGGTGCCAAAACTGATGGGCCAAGGCGCATCAAGACCAGAAACACCGGCATCTCCTATTTTTGGCAACGCTTCTTTTGGCCACGTATCCGTGCCTCCGACGTGGGCGTGGTGGGGGTGGCAGCAGCGGCGACACGACGGCTAAGCGGCAGAGAGAAGAGCGGAAAGAGAACGAACTGTTTCGGACGCAGGTCAGAGTCAAGCGCTAACTCCCAGCAGCGCAAGACCGAGCGAGGGCCTGAAAACGACGAGCGAGCGGGGGCCAGAGGAAACACACAACGGCGGAAAGACATCTACCGAGCGAAAAAACGAGGCCCTCAACCCGCAGGGACGGCCAAGCAAGGCGAACTAAAGCAAGCACAATCTCTTGGCGCATAGAGACCTGAATCCTGCGGCGACCATAGGCAGTGGAATATTTGTTTTCGTGCAAAGAGCCCCCCACAACCACAAATCTTCACATTCCCCCCGACCATTAATAAAACAGAGTAGATGGCATGGGGCGATGCTGCGATGCTCAGCCATGGCACGTCGGGTGTCGGGTTCCGCCACGGGTTGAGGATCGACGGAGCCCAAGTGGTGACTGGTGTTCTGACAGCACCTCATATAGAAAAGCACATGACATAAAAGAGATAGACAGCTTGCGTAAGTCAACTTTGCCACTTAGTATCTGCACGGGCCTGCGAGCGCAGGCACAAATATCAGTATCATCCGAATTGGTCATCATCAGGACCTGGGCACAAAAAACAGCTGGACGAGAAGTGCAAATTCATCCTCCTTCTCGAAAGAGAGCGACGAGACAGAAGCGCGAAGGGGGGATGGTCAGGAGGGAAGTGGGCCGGGTTAGACAGCAACCCAAGGAATGTTGTGGTCGTTCCCATGGCGCCCAATAGTGCGCCCAATCGCGCGCGATGCGTCTCCCTCACATGACGATTAGGGATTTTGGCGTCATTTGGGCGTCATGTGGGCGCTATTGGGCACTATTGAGCGGGCGGGAAAAGCCGTGATCTACGATCTAAGAAGGACAACGACTCATACTTTCGCCAACTTTCGCCGATCGCATGCCAAATTCCCACCGATGCCGCCTCCGTTTTAGTGTCCGCCGGCTTCCAAGGACTTTTTTTGTCCCAGCACTGCGCCCAATGCGCATTCAGCGAAAACGCTTCGAGAGAAGCCCATGGTAAACATAAACAGACATGCGGTGCACGCTACGACTACTCATATTATCAAGACTGTGTGGCCCTCGGAGGCTAAGCAATGGGAACAGCAAAGCTGGGTCACGAAGGCGTTTGCCTTGCGGAAGCCCCAGTCCCGGTCCTACGCGCCCCCGCCTCTGCGGAAGGCGGAAGCAGCACTGCAGGAGAGGCACCCATGGCCCACTCCGGGATGCGAGCGGCCATCCATCAACGCCGACAAGCAGCGACTTGCACATTACTTTGAGACTCGCTAGCGCCGACTGGCGACGGAGAGTGAGGAACTTTGTCCCGGCCGCACGGCCGACGACGGAACATACTTTGCACAACTTTGGCCGGTCGGCGGAACTCTGGGCAATCCCGGAACCGCCCCGAAGGCCCGCGTAGAGACTTGCGAGGCCGAGGGTGTAGGCTGGAGGTACAGACTCCCCGAGCAGAGGGCCCCGAGAGGTCACTGCGAACGCTCTCTGAGTAGCGAGAGGTGCAGTGCGCCACCGCTCTCCTGAAGCGCAGCAACTTGTTGCAACGCAAGGCCTACTGGATAACCTGAGCTTAGAGCCGATCACCAGGAATAATACGTTCGTCGTAGGTGAGGGAATGCACAGCGGCAACAGCTAGGATGTCAACGTGCAGTGACGACGGCAACTGAGGAGCATGAGAACCATCTCCAATGACGCACCGCGAGTAGTACCCGCCAAGGGCGCTGCACCTTCCCCTATGACCTTGCCCCTACCAATAGCTAGAATGTCTTTTGCTCACAACACGTGGAGGTTCAGACCAGCCAGACCGCTGGTCAGCGCTCACCTTACCGACACGGAACGACAAACAGGAGTGCACCAGATCATCGTCGCAACAACAGTGCCCAAACGTGTACTCGACCAACCTCTTCACTCCGTTGGTTGCGTAACCAAATTCGTCTCTGTCCACATCGGCAAAGGTGTGGTTGGCTACAGCTGCGAGGACGAAGGTGCCCACGGCCGTCGGCGAAGACACTTTTGCCATCGGTGATCGCAACATCTTTCTGGCTCACGTGCTGGGTGGTCGAGGCGTTGCTGGATATCGTGCGGTAGTGACAGACGGTGCACGGAAGCCATTGCGCACGGTCGGGCTGGGAATCGCGACCCAGCTCGGAAAGGGGACGGCCGATAAATCCTTGCGCCGATAAGGCTTCAGCGGACCCTCTGCCAGCTTCCGCCGAGGGCGAGAAATCAACCCGTCGATGCATCGAGGGCGGGGGCGGTTTGAAACGGCCCACTTCGGAACGAGCGTCCTGCTTGACAATGCCGTTACGACCGACTCTGGGCCAGCCCGATAATGCAGGTGGCGGCGAGTAGGATCTCGCGCGCGGTTCAAGAACGCCGTCATTATGAACGCGATGTTGTGGTACTGCTTACCTTGAGCTTGAGGCTTTAGCTTCAGCCATAGCTTCACCTGTATATGTCAGCGTTTGCACTGCAGCTTGACATTCATCGGGTAGCCTCAACATTTCGCATTTTTCACTTAACTCCATGTTTGGCCTTGCCTTCTGGCCTATCTGAGCCTTGGTTCGCGCTATCGTTGAGTCGCAACGCGGTCGCCCTATCCTCCATTCGCATTAGCACACGCAATCGCCAATGCGTGTGCAGCCATGTCATTGGCAACGTGTAAAATCGTTCACGCATTTCGCGATGGCGACTCTGGCATCCACTATTTCCGCAGCGTCGGCGCGAAGGTGCACAACTGAGCCTCTCTTCGGCGGCGAGCCTCGTCCTACCTGGAGCCAAAGCTGGCCCTCTGAAGACGATACCTGGCTCAGATCCTCCCCAGAGCTCGAAGAGCTTACCGCCCCTTTAACAAGCAATATGTCGAGCTCTACCACAGACTGTGGGAGGTTTTCGAATGGACCAACAATTTAGGGCCCGATCCTGGGATATACGATGGGGGGACGTCCATCCTCGATAGGGGTTCGTCCGAATAGCCCGCTTGGGGTGTATCCCAGGGTCCCCCTCGCTTCCTGAGCGGCTTCATTTTCGTCGAAAAGTCGGGGGGGGGGAGACAAGTCGCCTGCGAGCCTTGGTTAATCCCTAACCGCCCTGAAGGGGCAAGAGACCACATGTAGCATACTTCCTTAGTTGTTCGCGACCGGCCGTCCTGGGAAGGAACACACGCAGCACCATTCATGGCAATATTCTTCCTCCTCTCCCGCCTTCTGCCTTCTCCTGATGCCCGCGGTTGTTCCTCGATCCCGCGCCGAGCACGGCTAGACGCATGCCTTTGCCCACGCGCCTAGAAGCGTATGGCTTGTTCGTTCGTTCGTGGGGAAAAGCAAAAGCAACTCACCTTGCTCCTATCAAGACCCCGGAGCCAAACGAAGCGCCCCAAAAAGGCCTCAGACCGAGCAAATACGCTCGAGAACCTCGATTCCGTGTCCTCGATAGCCGACCACTCCGCCCACGAACGCTGCCTTGCCTTCGACAGCCCGCTGTGGGAGCAACGCGAGCACGTCCCGAGCGGCCTCCGAGGGACTCCGAAGGCCCCTGGAGGCCTCCAGGGTGCGGGGGCCTCTGGAGGCCGCCGGAGGTCTCCCGAGGCCGACCTGACTTCACAACTTCTGCAAGCCCCGACCCTCGATCGCCGATCCCCAAGCTGAGGCGAAGCCAGGACGAGGCCAGATTCGGGTAAGGACAGATCGAGAATGTCTGCGACCCGGCCCGGCCGGCTGATCTGGAGGATGTCTCGGGCGCCGTGGCCTTCTCGGAGCGTTCCGGAAGGCTCTCGGAGCGTTCAGGAACGCTCCGGACAGGATTTATCCTTGTCCTAGCATCCGGCAGCGTGATTGATCAGCTCACGGGCCCCAGAGAGGTCCCCACCCATTTCCCCAGACAGAGCTTCTCATCGCGGACCTATCTCTTCGAGGAGGCCCTGGGCACGGGAAGGAAGCGGCCGCGGGAGGCCAAAACACTGCGGAGACACGCGCGGGGGCCAGAAACAAAAGAACCAGTCCGACAGAGCTCTGGGCTGCTCGGGCCTCGATCGCCGAGCCCCGAGACAAGGAGGACGAGCGTCCGGGGCGGAGGACCGCCTCGGGGAGGGGGGGAGCCTCGACACTGGACGTGGGCGGCACATTGCCGACAGATCGGCGACGGGCCCTCGAGACAGCGGATCCGCAGGCTCCTGGGCGGGGCAGGCTCCCGGGCCCCGGCCAGGGATGCATGGGTGCATGGGCGAAGGGGGGTCGGTGCACTTCCCCCCGGAGCCCTGGCGCCCCCCCACCCCTACAGGCCGTTTTTGAATCCATGGGATGCTTGAAAATATAGGATTTGTTTGATACATGATGAAGTTATGAATACATGTATGCTTGAACTCCTCGTTGTTTTTAATACTAACTCCCTGTATTTTTTGTACATGATCCGCACGCGGAGCATGTATCACAAAAAGGCACTGTACTGTTGCGCTCTGGCTCTCGGCTCATAACTCGGCTCCCTGGCGGCCGTTCGGGACGACCCGGGCACTCCCGCAGCGCTCTCGGCGAGGCGCAGCTGCTGGGAGGCACCCTGAGAACCTTGAACCTCGGACCTCGGACCCCGGCGTAGCAAGTTTCCGAATGACATCTCAAAGGTCTGGACCCCATCCTGGGCAACAACTTTTCATCCTGAGCCTCTGAGCTGTGTTTTACGGCCTCGAGGCCCAGTGAGGGCTCCAAGAGTTTGAAAATTACCAAAAACCTCCGGTCGCTATTTTTCCACGACGCCAGGGGGTTTGAGCCTAACGTTGCCAGTGGCATACTGGAGGGGCAAGAGACGGTGACCACGGCCAAGACTGAACGCGGACATGTAGTGTCCACCTTGGCCTCCGTCCATCTTGGTCAGCGTCGATCCGCGGATCAACCTCGCGAATCGGCGAGGGCCAGCACGAACCATGCCCGGGATCCGCGACGAGATCCCGCGTCCACTTGGGTCACGGCCCCCGCAGCTCCTCCCTCGACATGGTCCCACTGCCGACCGCCGCCGCGCGGAGCGCAGAGCGAGGGCGGTCCACGAAGCGCGGGGGGCCGGCCGCGAAGCCGGGGACGTCCGCCGCGGCGTCGTGCACCAGGCAGAGGCGGTGGCAGTCCTTGCAGAGCAGCGGCGAGGCGAGGCGGCCTCCTCATGCCTCGAGCCCAGGATCCCGAGTACCGAGCAGGCCTTGAAGATCCAAGGTCAAGGTATTGGCGATATTGATGCCCATTGCTCCCGCATCTGCAAATGAGTCGACCCACGAGTTGCCACGTGATGGCAAGAAGCCCAAGTACCGAACAGGCCTTTGTGATCCAAAGCCTAGGTATTGGCGATATGAATGCCCGTTGCTCCCGCATGTGCAAATAAGTCGACCCACGAGTTCCCACACTTGACGAAGGGCACGGGGTCAGCTGCAGAACTTGACTCACAGCAAAGTGCATTTCCCACCGAATCTACGAAATATACATAGAATGTTCGGTATATCTTCGGGACATTGGACGCATTTTCCATGGATTCGACGGAACATCAAGTTTTGGGGAAAACAATTCTGCAATCGATCCCCTACTCAAGCTGTTGCGGGACCGGGATCTGGATCTTGGTGGAACCACCCTGTTGTTCGGGGTTCTTGGCCAGATTGCCCCGGTGCGATCTCGGGGGCTTCAGAATGCTGGGCGCGCCAGTCGTGCAATTCTTGGCTCCAACCAGAATTCCCTTGGAAAATCTCACGGGGAAGTATGCACAAGTGCGCGCAATGACCGCGTGACCGCATAGCCCCAAAGTGGAACCACTCGGGCCCCACGCCATCAATGATGACCCGCAAGTGAAACAGAGATGACCACATGGCCCATCATGACCCCGACAGGGCATCTTGAGAGCCTCAGACTGTCTATGTGATGACCCGTCTGATGAGTGGCGGGCGATGCCGAGACGACTCCAAACTGACCGAGCGACGCCCGCACAATCCAAACATGACGCGAGTGCGATCTGAAAACGGCCTGACGACAACTCCAAGATGCCCCCAATATCGCTCGCAAGTCGACGCAGTGGGCGGTCCCGCTACCTGCATATCATGCCACATTGATCTCAAGATGACCCAACATGGCTTCAAGAGGCCCTGACGAGGGGTCCGCGGCGACAGGACGGCGCGCGCATCGCCTGAAAATGGCATCACGACGGCCCCACCATGAATCCGTGAACTTATGAACCCCAACTTGTGTCCAGCCGATCCCAGAAAAGGCGGGATCCCTCGAAGGCCCGGGAGTTTGGTTGACCCGGTGAAAGGGTGGGATTTTTGACCTGGCCGAATCAAACTTATCATATAAGGAAGGACTATAGCAAGCTCGGCGGGATCCCGCACGACCCAGGAAGGAAAGCTACCTTGCTAGGCCTCTACGGGGGCAAGCGGTTCGAAAGGCGCAGTGCTACTGCCGCCGGCTTCCGCCGCCCTCGCAGGAATGCTGCCGTCTTCCGCGCGGCGAGCGCCACCATAAAATCCAAAGAACTTTCTCATTGGGCCGATGTAGCGCACGGGGCGCGGCGAACGGCGTTCCCAGACCCCCCTCGCGTCGTGGAAAAAATCACGGCGAGAATTTTTGTTGGCAACTCTCAGGGTCGTGAACAAAAACGACTCGGGATGGAAAACTGGTTTCCAGGATGGGGTCCAGACCTCCCGTAGTCCACTTCATGAAAAACACACGATGTCGGAGGTCCGGGTCTGGCGACGACGACTCTGCAATCTGGGCATCGTATTTGTTTCGCAACGGGCGCTTTCGCCATGTTTCGGGCCCCGGGACCCCGCTGGATCGATCCGGCTCGAGCAGTGCCGCAGAAAAATCGGGTCTAGGGCTCTGGTCGTGATTGTTCGCGCTGTTGCAACTGTTTGTTCGCAACGTCGGGGACGCCGACGCCTGGCAGGCATTCAGGCGGATGCGCGCGGCGACGGCGGGTCAACTTTTGGGGCATGTCACCTCTTGGGGCCCTCGAACGGTCGCTCTGGTATCCTCTCGGGGCCCTCTTTGGGGCACTCGTGGGCCACTTGGGGGCCCTCTTTGGGCGCCGAGCGGCGAGCGGCATCTGGGGGACTAACAACGTACCGATACCGCCACGCCACAGACCTCTCCCAGGGTGTGTTCTGGCCAGGACTTCGCAGAGGAGCCAGCCGTGGCGGCGAGGGATCTCCAGGTCGATCAGCGGTAACGGCATCTCGTCCTCTTCTGAGCGACGACGGCGCCGACGCCTCGCGGGCTGGCAGGGGGACGGACGCGCGCGGCGGCGGGTCACCTGTTGGGGTCTGCCACCTCTTGAGGCCCTCGGGCGGCCGCTTTTGGGGGGGCTCTCTTCGGGGCCCTCGTGGGCCCATTTTGGGCCCCCCTTTGGGGCCCTCTTCGCTGGGCCACTCTGGGCCCTCGCGGGGCCGCGGCGGCGGGCCGGCGGCCCTGCCGGCGGGCGGCGGCCCTGGGGCGAGCGGCGGACAGCCCGAGGGGGAGCACCGGGCTAGACGCAGGATGGCAGGGCGACCGCACGCGGTGGCTTGCGCGGGCCGACAGCGCGGCACGCTGCACCGGAAACGAGGGCGCGCACGCGCAACCTTGCGCAGGCAGCAGGCTGCGCAGTCGGCCCTTCCGCCGCTCAGGTGTACCCAGGGGCTCCAGTCGCCCGTGTCTTCGGCGAGGCTTCCTGGCGAATGCGCGGAATGCCCACCCCGGGGCCATCCGCCGCGTTTGCCTCTGCCGACCCTCCTCCTCTTCCTCCTCCTTCTCCTTTCCTCCTCCTCCGACCCTGACATTTGAGTAAGGCGAAACATAGCACAAGGACCTCGACATCTAAATTCCTGTCGAGGTTTGAGGCAGTCCAGATAGGTCGATTGATCTGCAGGATTATGTCGGGCACTCTGGAAGGTCAGGGTGCCCCTGCCCCCCCAGCAAGGACTGACTGACTGACTGGCTGAAGCCGTGCGTCCAGCGGGACGCTCTGGCACGAAGAACAATCGGGGCCACCGCCTGGGAAGACTCGCGTGCATAGTGCGCGAAGAAGGGGGGAGGAGGAGGAGGAGGAGGAGGAGGAGGAGGAGGAGGAGGAGGAGGAGGAGGGAGGAGGAGGAGGAGGAGGAGGAGGAGGAGGAGGAGGAGGAGGAGGAGGAGGAGAGGGAGAGGGAAGGGGGTGTAGGCGGAAAAGGAGGAGGCGGAGGAGGAGGCGGAGAAGGAGGATGAGAAGAAGGAGGGGGAGGATGAGGGGAAGGAGGAAGAGGATGAGGAAGAGGAGGAGGAGGAGGAAGCGGAGGAGGAGGAGGAGGAGAAGGGGAGGAGGAGGGGGTCACGAGTGCACTGCACACTGCGCGAATAAGGGGAGACAAGGAACGAGGAAGGGGGAGGGGACGGAGAAGGATGAGGAGGAGGGGGGTCGCAAATGCAACTTGCAGAAAAATAAGGTTGGCGCATCATAGCAAGAGGCATGTAACTATGTGCGCGGACGAAGAGGCGGCTTGGAGATGCAATGAAAGGACAAGAAAAAGAAGGGGGCATGAACTGATGGCCCTGGCCATGGTTTCCAAACACCCCTTGATATCCACGCGCGCACGCACAAGCACACACACACACACACGGATATCCACACACCCCTTGTCCTCACCCTCCTATTCGACGCACCAGAAGGTGTCTAGGATCGAGGCTCGATGATCATTTCGCCGACGTCGTCGACGTCTTAGTTTCGGAGGACGCTGACCACCACCGTTGAGCACGAGGAAAACGCCGTCTGCGCGAAGGGCACGCATGGCACTGCGCCAACGGCGCCGTGGCTGTCAAACGCCGAGAGCTCCTGCCTGTGGTAGTCGTTGACCCCGTCTGCACCGAGTCACTTGAGCATGGGGATGCCCGCGCCTGCCGCAGCAGTGACCACGCGTGCGGCGCCCATCAGCTTCGCAATCTGCACTCGGCGGCGCGCCCAAGGGGAAGTGAGAGGGGGCAGACCTTCTCAGGAGGCGGCGGGGCTTCTCAAAGGCCCCCGGCCTCCTGCAAAACCGTCTCTGTCTTCGGGGAAGGCTTCGAAAACTGCTCAGAAGGCCCGAGGCCTTCCGAGCCTCCTGCAACGGCCCGCCCCCTCTGCAGACTCCCCCTGGGCTCGCCGCCCATGCACGGCGACAAGCCGTATGCCGACCAGGCCAGCGGTGGCCACCATGGCCATTCATCTGTCGCCCGGGACTCCGCGGCGCGCCCGCGGCACGGAAGACTTCAGGGCCTCTGGCGGCGACGCCGGGGAGCGGGCCGGCGTCAACGAGAGGGCGAGGCGCTCAAGGGCTGCGGCCGAACCAGGTCGCAACTCGCGAGCGCGTGCTTCGACCCGGAGCGGGGCACCGAGGCAGGAAACCAGGCGCCCCAGCGCCGACCCTGACGCAGGGGCAGCTGCCCCACGCTGCCAGAACAGCTCCCGAGCAGTCGCCGTGGAGTGCGAGGCCCGCCGCCGACTCCTCCGTCCGAAGGGTCGAGCCTGGAGGACCCGCAGGGCTTCCGGGCGCCCCCGGGGGCACTCCCTGGCCAGCGCAGGGGAGGGGCGAGGCTGAGCGCCGCGAGCTTGGGTTGTTGGAGGCCTCCTTCTCGATCGCCGCCTTCAGGTTCGTGACCTCGCCCTGAGTCGGGTGTTGCTAGAAGTGCCCCTGGCCCGAGGTGCCCCCAGGATGTCCAAGGAGGCCCCCACGGCCTCCAGAGCACCCCATCACGAGGCCCAGAGGGCCCGAAAGGCTTATCTAGCGATAAGAAGGGGGCACCTCGGGCCAGGTGCACATTTGGCAGCCCCCGACTGAGGGACGAGGGGAGGGGGAAGAGAGGCCCTGGGGATTTCGCACCCTTGCTGCAGGGCCGGAAGAGCTCCAACGAAAATTTGCACTCCTAGGGGCCCTTTGGGGGCGCCCCCGCCGCAGCGGCCGGGCATGCCTAGGGAGGGGGAGAGGCGGAGAGCGAGGAAAGTGAGGATGATGCTGATGCTGAGGAGGAGGGGGAGGGAGAACAATCAGAAGGAAAGTTGGAGAATGAGGGGGGAGAGAAGGGAAGGGGGGCTCCTGCGTCCCTTCTCGCCCTGTGGGGGGGGTTAGGAGGGAGGAGGAGGAGGAGGAGGAGGAGGAGGAGGAGGAGGAGGAGGAGGAGGAGGAGGAGGAGGAGGAGGATAAGGAGGAGGGAGGTGGAGGAGGAGGAGGAGGACAAGGAAGAAGGAGGAGAAGGAGGAGGAGGAGGAGGCGAGAAAATTGGAGGAGAAGGAGGAGGAGGAGGAGCCGGGGTGGCGGCGCGAGGCGGTGTCGCGGGGCACTCCTCCAGGGCGTCCTGGAAGGACCGCCAACCGCCGTCGCCGCCCGCTCCCACGGCGGCCTCGGGGGCGAGCGCTCGGGATCCGTAAACGTCGGTCGACAGAGGTAGGCAAAAGCATGAAGCAGGAAAGCGGATAGAGTAGATTGGGTTCAGGCCCTCCCAGAGAACAACAGAACACAGGAAAAGTAGATCGATTCTTGAAGTAGGGAGGCGCTTGAAGTAGATTGGGATCTGAGAATCCCCAACTACTTGCTTTCAACGACTGACGTGTATGCCTGCACGCGGGGATTTCGGGGCCCCAAGGCCGGTTGTTGGTGGACCGCGTGGTGACCTCGGAATCCCCAAAAACCTCACCGCGCGGTCCGTCACCGCACAATAGGCAATAGGCCCCGGCGGTCCGAGACCTGGGAGAACGACTCAGGTCCCAAAACCGCGTGGTGACCTCGAGCCCCCCCCTGACTCACCACGCGGTGTGTTCGCCAAACCGTTCGGTGGCCCCCCGAGGGGATGCACGCTTGACGTCGGCGGCTCCGGGAGCAGCAGAGGCGCGGGACGCCGACGGCACCCCGAGAGGGCCCCGAGAAGCTGGCGAGGGCTGCCTGCGCGCGGGGGCGCACGCTCGACGTCGTAAGGCCGCGCCTGGAGAGGAGCGGCGCGGGGATCCGCCTGCCTGCGCGCGGGGATGCGCGCTCGACGACGACGGCGGCGCCGAGGGAAGGCGCGGGGCGCCGCCCCGAGAGGCCCCACGAAGCTGGCGAGGGCTGGGGCCCAAGCAGAGAGGCCACCGACCTCCCCGGGCTCGTCGGCCCAGGACTGCTGCAAGCGTGCTTGCGAGACGCCGCGATGTTCTCGCAACGCCCGGATGAGGTCCGCCTATGCTCTCCGAAGGCTCTCACTGCCAGGGGCCTCCAGAGGTCCCGGGGTATCCGCATCTCTCCACGGAGCTCCCCCGAGGCTCTTACTGCTAAAGCTCCCGGAGGCCCTGGGGGTCCTCTGGGAGGCCTCTGGGGGCTTCCAGAGATCCCAGGAAGCCTCGAGTGGGCCCCACAAGGCCCAAAAGCATTCCTCCTCCTCCTCATCCTCCTCCTCCGCCATCCCTGGTCCTTGCAAACCAGACCCAAGCGTGTCGGCAGGGCGGGCCAGGATTCGCCTGAGACTGCCTCACCAAGTCTGATCCTGAAGCCATTGGAATGTGCAACAACTTCAGGATGCAGAGATGGTCGCTGTCAAACTGTGTCTCTTACCTCAGCGCCGCGCACCTTCGTCCTAAAAGTCCGCAGCAGTTTCAAGGATGGTTCTCGCCCTCGCGCCGAGCGAATTCGTCATAAATACTTGCAACGGATGCAGGACGGTTCCTTGTTCAAAATGTTGTTCTCGCCGTAGCGCCGCGCACGTGCGATCGAAATCCCAGGAATGGTCTTCTGATGCGATGCAAGGCGGTCAGGACGCAACATAGATGAGTCGCGGTGTTGAAATCCCAGAGACGGTGTTATGATGTGCTTCGGTACGATATAGGATTGTCAGGACGCAAAGAACACGTTTATTCGCGGCGTGTAAGTCCAAGGAACGGTGTTTTGGCAAGAGTGGGAATCTGAGACAGTTGAATTCCTATGGGGCACTCCCCGCAAATAAAATAAACTACTACAGGGAACCATGAAGGAGGAACTTGGAGGGAGGGTTTATTACAGCACCGTTGATACGTCTTGCGCTTAAACTGGTCTTCCCCATCGTCCTCGTCCCCCCCTCCTCCTCCTCCTCCTCCTCCTCCTCCTCCTCCGCCTCCTCCTCTCCCGATGAAGGCCGCCAGCCGCGGCGCCTCCAGGCGCCTAACAGAGGCCTCCAGGTTTATCCTCCCCCTCCTCTCCTCCGGGGCTCCTGGGCCGCCTCGGTGCCCAGGGCGCCTGCCCGGAGCAAGGCCGTCACCGGCCCCCTGCCGCGCTTCACGTGGCCCGCGTTCCTCCTTCCCCCCTCGCTTCTGGCCGGGGCCCACCCTCGTTAGCAAACCGCAGTAACAGGCTGCGAGTTGGGGTTTCCCCAGGTGGCGGGTGTCCCCCCGTGACAACCCCGCCTCCCATCCAGGGACTGTGCAAAGGCGGCCCGCTCGCAGTCCTGGCAGTTTGGTCAGTGATCCTTCCCCCCCTTCCCTCGGCCCTCACGCTCACCGCGTTGGCCGCCGCGAGCAGCACGCGTACACCGGGGCCTCCCGAGGCATCCGTGCCCCCGCACAAGGCTTCGCGCCGTGTTCAACAGAAACAACGAACATAACCGGTGCCGCCGGCCCCATCTCTTGGCGGCGTGCCTCGAGCCAGACTGCTCCGCGGAGGGGTCGCAGCGCTGGAGTCGGGGGCGAGAAATCTTGTCGCAACTGGGAGGGGGGCGACTGGAGACAACGGCACTTCAAATTGATCCCCAGACTACTCCTGGGGTCCAAACGAACCAATGTTCGGAGCTGCGTCCAACCTGCGCGACGAAGGGGGGCCCCCCGAACGCCGATTACCGTTGTCTCAACTTTCCCTCGTCTGAGTGGCTGTTTTCGTGGAGACCAGGCACGAGGCCCCCCAGGGTATCCGCGCAGTTCCCCACGGGGGAGGTCTCCAGAGGCCTCCCCAGAGGCGCCCGCGCACCCACGAGAGTTGCCAAGAACGCCCAGGAGCCTCGATCTGTGTGAGGGTGAGGAGGACCAATGGACCGACCCCACCCCCGAGTGTCCGTCGGTAGACGATGAGGGACGATGGTTTTACCCAACGTACCTCCAAGTATCGAGTACCTGTCATCCGAGCCAAGAGGGGCGATGGATATGAGCAAGATAGGAGGAAAGTAGGGGGATTCACACACACCCCCCGTCCCGATCCCGCCCGATGCCAACGCACAAAAGCGAAAGGCACCGAAGCGGGGATCGGGATAGGAGAGTGAATCTCTACTGAACTCCTGTCTGCAATCCACTGCTTCGGCCCAGGAAGGAAAGGAAGGGACAGCCAAAGCTCTGTCGTAAGGTTCGTACCCAACGGCGGCGCTAACCTGCAAAAAGTTTTACAGCGCCAGCCGCCGAGATAGAACCCAGGACAGTGCTGTGGGCTGGAGAGAAGTGGAATGGAGAGACTGAACTCTTATGACACCGACCCAAACGGTCGGTGCCCGAAGCAACACATGATAATCATGAATATGAAGTCTTCAATCCAATACCAAATCAAAGTAATCAAATCAGTCACGGTACGAGGGTGGTGAAAATCTTTTTATGCAAGTTCCATATCCAATCTGTACCAGATGCAATATGTACGTCTTGCCACAGTTCAAATCTAAAGGATATTTATGCAATTGTGCATTATGCGATTTTTTTTTTTTGAATCTATATGAGTAGTATTATCCCATCATGAGGATAGCTGTCACCATAAACTTTCTCACAGTTGTTGAGTCCATGAAGAGGAAGAATCCTTGAAGTGATATACTGATCAAAAGGTAAGTGCGAGCGTCCTCGAATACTACATGTCATCGAAGAAAATGATATAATGCATCAATAGGCACATCAACAATACGACAAAGTTGGAAGCCAGTCAAAATCTTATGGGCGGCATGGCAACCAGTTTCCTGGTGCGTCAGCGTGGAGGGTCCCAGCGCCATGATCTGCCCGTATATTTCCCCGATGTGTACTTCTTATTCCATGCAGTCGCGCCCCATCCATTATTGGCGAACGGATCCCACGCTTTGGTCCAGATGAACTCGCCCCAATGGTCGTACCACTGGCGGTCATACGGTGCAATTTGCCTGTCATAATAGTGGGCACCGTATTCAGCACTGTACCCGTGGGTCACATTCGAAATGGCGGGGCGCTTTGCCAGAGGTGGTCCATCATCGGGACGCGCAGGCGCATATCTGGCAGCGGAGGCGGTATGGCCATGGCTGTCGAACGCGCCGGAAGAAGTACGATACTCGGATGTGTGTGGTGGTGGCTGGGGGGTTGGATCGGTCCCGCTCCCCCTAAAGTCACCCCCACTACTGCTTCCTGGAGCGTTGCCGCTGCGGTCTCCCGCTGCACTGGCGGTCTCCTGAAGCTGAGAGTAGTATTCTTCGCGCTCTCGCTTAACACCGGATCGGATCTCGTCCCGGGACCCAGTCAAAGACTGTGGGTGTGCACGAATTTCTGCGGCGGTGATGGCACCGCGGAGAGATTCGCCCGGGACGTGAACGGTAAGGTGGTTGCGCTGAAAACGCTCACGGAGTGTTTCGGCTCCAAGGTTCGGCGCTCCGACCTCTTTCCTCTTTTTGGAGGCCTGCCAGAGGCGATCGGCCTCAGTGGCAACCTCTAACGTCCATGCAACCCTACCAGCCTGAGTCCGAACTGTTGTCATCTGCGCACGAAACTCATCATCCTCCGCAAAGCGCTGTGCTAGAGACATGTATGGATGATACATGGGAGGATAATTTGGATTCTCAGGCGGGATGCCGTCCGCGTCGGCGTCTGCACGTAGCTTGTCGCACTCCTCCCGAGATGGAGAACTCCAAGCTAGCCACTTCTGATGCCGTTTGTCAGCTTTCTTCCCCATGTTTTGAAGCTCGTCTTTAGCGTCTGTCTGTGGCTTCTTCGAGCCACGCGTATCAATGGGGGCAGCTGTGATGCGCTTGGCGACGTCATCCGGCTGAGTGGCGGCAAACGCAACGAACTGTTCTCGCCAGGCCGCAACTTCGTCCGGCCATTTGGAGTTCTCGTACCTCATGCAAAAGGCACATTTCAGAGTGGCCCCAGGCGTGTCCAAATCAGCTGGCATCCGAGCGTTGCAAATTGCGCAAGACGGGATGCGAGTCTGTAGCTCTGGAGGTGCCAGTCCTGTGCTCTCGTCGAACTGAACGACCCCTGCGAGCAGGGTCGCGAAATTCTCCTGAGATGCGCTCCCACCTGGCGCAGAGACGATTTGGCGGGCCCGATCGAGGTGATCAGGTTCAAGTGGGGCAAAGATCTTCTCGTCGTCTTCGTCCAAGATCTTGTCAAGGTCGCTGCGGTTTCCCGCTGCACCCTGAGACTCGGCGGAGGCGGAAGCAGCGACAGCCTGGTACGCATCTTGGAG